CTTCCTACAAATGCTCTACAGATCTGCGGTCCTAACACTCACGTCAGGGTCAGATTCTTTCACGGGAATCACTCAGCCTCTTTGTTCGCGCCTTACAGAAAGCTGGAGGGACTGTGTCCCCTGCTGTTGACATGGGAATACATGTGGCTGTCGGTTACAAGGATAAGAACTCGATCGCCACTTGTGCGAATCCAAATCCATCCTTCCTTTTCCTAGGCTCCAAGACTCCCAAATGAAGTGTGTTCTTGGATTAGGGGCCATACTTTAATTAGTATGAAACGTCTTCATGCTGATGTCCTGGAACGCGTTAATACTACTTCTATGATTTCCACCTCTGGCTCTGAGGTTTCCACTTAAAAAAAAAAACTATTGTCACAGTACACCTTCGTATTTCTTAATACTGGGCAACCGAGATAAGATACAAAGTCCATCTTGACCAAGAATTCTTTTCCACCAAGAGCTGTAAAACTGTCTGTCCGTGTTTCTGGAGATTATCTTTTGACTCAACATCTAAAAACATATATATTTTTCCATTTAAAGGAGAATTTTACAAGTTTCCAAGAAATCAACAATTTTCTCATCAACTTAGTAAAACATTTTACCAATTAATCTTTTATTTTTTTATTGCACACATCAGTATTTTACAGAAAAAATTAAAGAACTCCTTAATGTGAAACTCCAATTAATTATGTTTTCTTCTGATTCTTTTCAATGTAGAGACCTAAATTTTTACACAAATATAATCAGTAAATACAATAATGTGTTCTAACACTTTTGAGTCTCATTTAAACATTTTTTCCATACGATTTGACATATATCCACATTCATGAGTAAATAAGTCTATGATAGCAATAGCAATACATCAAAATTTACTGATCCATTTCCTTATTATTGGGCTTTTTTAACTCAAATGAATGGAATTGCTAGAAATATATTTGTACAAGTAGCTTTTTTTTCTCTTAAATACTTCCCTGGGCATATGGTACTCAAAGTGAGTTAGATCTATCAAAAGATAGATTGGTTAGAGAGTTCCTATTATATTCGTCTAAATAGTTCTTTACAAAACTACTAATATAACATTGCTACTATGAGGACACGTGATTTAAAAATCTTTTGCTAATATAATAGCATGAACAAGGTCAAAGTTGTTCACTTTGCATTTTTCATATTAGGAAATCTGAATATCATTCTAAGAATTGACTTTTATTTGTACCTTCTCATTTGTAGTCAATCCTTTTATAAATTTGCCTAGTAAAGAGCAGAAAGGTTTATGAATTTGCATGTACTTTTTACAAAATATTAAGCATTTTATCCATGTGTAATGCAAGTAGCTTTTTTTTACGCCATCTCTTCTGCTTCTTTTGTCTTCTTCCTATTTAGTACATACTTTCCATTTTTATTTTAGTTGATATCTACCTTTGTCAATAATGTTTTTCATTGCCATAAAGTTTCCTTTGTACCATTATTGGGATGAGAATTGTAGTCTTTTTATTTTCCTCTTTATACTTAACATTTTAGTTCATCTGGAATGAACTGTGTTATCATATGTAAAGTAGATCGAACTCCTTAGATGAAGTCAAGACTATAAAATTTTGGTTTTCAGACTCCTTATTTACTTCTTTTCCATTACACTAGGTTGTAGTTCCTTCAGCCTGCTTCTACATCAGCATCTTACTTAATTTATCTCAATATAGTTGTATAACTTTGGCTCGTATATATTAATATATATTTTTTAAATTGTAGTTTGTCACTGCTGGGACCTGAAAATGAGATTAACTTTTAAAATTTTTATATCCTGCAACTTTCTGAATTAGTCTTTCACAGTCAGTATGCTTACACACCATGGGTTTCGCTAGTTATAGAGCCACGTTAATAGAAAATATTTGTGCTGCTTTCTTTCCTTACCTTTCTCATTTTGTGAATGCTCATTAAAGTTTTATTACAATGACAAACTTCTTCAATTATATATAAATAATAGTGGTGCCAAGATTGTTCAATTTCTGCTTGAGAAATGTTTCTTATACGTTTTTCCAATAGGAACAATGTTTTCAGTAACTATCACACTATGAGAAATCAACAAAATCATTACAGAGATAATTAAATCAAAGATGCATAATGAATTTTACTGAGATTTTTAAGTCATATTTAGTTAATACTTGGGATTTTTACTTTTTTGTTCTGTTGATGTTGATTTAATAGTTATACTGCTGAACACCAGTTTCATAATCCTGAGTCATAGGAAATAATTATTATTATATGTTGTGTATTTTCTAATATTCTATTTTGAGTTTTGCATCTGATCAGAATGAGACCCTTTTCAAAACGCTTGACTTCTAATATCTAGGCCATTATTTGCCTCAAAATGCGAATATTAGCATGTCATCCTTCATGATAAATAAACAGATATTATTCTTTGACATAGATATTATTCATTTGAAAAAGTTCACCAATGAGGGTACAATTCCAACTCATCAGAAAACTATACTAGTCTATAACATCCCCTAATTTTTTTAATGCTTTTTATTGGTTATAACTTTTCTCATTTCCAATCTGCTGTTTTGCATTCAAGTAAGAAAGTAATATATTCATTTTGTTAGTTTTTAAAACCACCCTTATTTTGGACTGCTCTAACACTCTTCTCCTGTTTCCATCATGTTTGGCTCTACCATCTTTTGCAATTTCTCATTGTTCCTTTTCTCTAGTTTTTATGAATAAGAATATTCATGATACTGAAATTGAAATTGTTTTCAATAGGTCTGGATTACCTTCACTTCCATTTTACTTATCATCTTAAATTCTTTTTCTTTTTATTTCTTTTGTGAGGAAGATTGGCCCTGAGCTAACATCTGTTGCCAATCTTCCTCTTTTTGCTTGAGGAAGATTGTCACTGAACTAACATCCATGCCAGTCTTCCTCTCTTTTATGTGGGATGCCGCCACAGCGTGGCTTGACAAGCGGTGCTAGGTCTGCACCCAGGATCCTAACCTGCGAACCCCCAGCTGTGGAAACACAGCATACGAACGTAACCACTACGCCACCGGGCCAGCCCTCATCTTAAATTCTTTTCCATTTTAATTACTATTTTTTAGATCTATTTCAGTTGTTTTGATAGGTTTAAATCTTAGGATCCACCCAATACTACTACTTTGCTATAATGCAAAAAATGTATATAAATATTAATACAAACTCAAGACTTCTCTACTTTTGGTAAGCTGTGAATTACTTCAATCTTTCTTGTTTCATTTTCCTCACATACAGAAGAGCACAAAAGACCATTCAGAGCATATTCTGGCCTAGTAACATCTCTATCCCTTTATGAGATGTTCAGATCAAAAGACAGATTATTAAAAAGCATTATTTTGTTAAAACTTAGCCAAATTCTGCTTCCGTGAGATCAACAGCCCTAAACTATCTTTTTAGTTAATCTCAGTCTTCACACTTCTCTGATTCAGTACGCTGAAAGACCAACGTCTGTCCACTTTGCTTCACCAGCAGCACTACACTGATTCCCCGGGCGCCTCTCCTTCTCCTCCAGAACCTGCACTCTTCTAACAGTTTCTTAGTGGAAAGATTTTGAAATCACGCAAGTCTGGATTCCAGTCTTAGCTCTTCCACATACCAGACTCTGAGCACATTATCAATTCTTTATTTCCTCTGTGAATATGTATTCAACAATATCTGCCTCGAGGGGTTGTTGAGAAAAACTGTAATGAGTAATTTACACAGTAAATGCTCTATTCCAGAACAAAAACTGCCATTGAAGGGCTCTCTTCCAATAGGATTATCATTCTCCATCTCAGGGGTGGAAACGGCACCAAAAGGGAAGGAAGTTTACCTCTCCCGGCAGCTCCACAGGCTTTCACCACTGCAGTACAACCAGCTTTACAACTTCTAGTGGTTCTGGGAACAAAAAATGTTTCTATCCTCTAGATTCCAGCCAAGAGGCCAAGTGATCATGAAGGCAGTCACCTGGACATGGCAAATCCTCTGAGGCCCCCCTATCGGCTGCATGAGTGTTGCTAACTGGAGGGGCAGATCTGGCCAACAAGGTGGACTACTTCACCCTCAGGAGAAACCTGGGGAAAGAAGGCCTGGGTGGGAAATGCCTCCCTCAGTTCCTCCTTAGGAATTGCAGAACTGCCATTCTGAAGGCCCTTTTCCGGCGGCAATTTTAATTTTTCTTTTGGCCTGAGTTACACGTTAAGTTCTTTTCTTTTAGGCGCCAGAGCAGGGCTCTGCAGAAATTTTCTGAAGTATTAAACCAGAACTAATCTTATCCCCTAGATCTTCGGAATGAGCTTCCCAAGAATGAGCTCTTTAACTACTGAGTGAACTCTCGGACTCTGGAATGCAGAAGACTGTGGTGGCGGCACTGCTCATGGGTTACAAGCATCAAGCAGGAGAATGAAGCTGCAAGATGTACTGTGAACATCAGACCTTCACAAATAAAGGATCAGGCAAAGCTAATCTTTCAACAATTCCAGACAAGTGCACTTTATTGTACTGACACTTGAGTCAGCTGCTGTTGCTCCCACCATGTCTATACGTTTATATTATATACAAAAGACCCACATAATTTACTCTGTGTGTGTGTCACCATTCGGAGGTGGTAGCAATTCTAAGAGCTGCAAAAGTAATTAAAATACTCCTTAGATATTATTGTTACTGTAGACAATAATTAAATCAGAAGACCATTAGCAGATGCAATATTACCTTCCTTTAAGCAGAGCTGCTAACATGGAACCCTCACACATATACCCAGCCCTAAAATAAAGCTAGTCCTGTTTAAGAGGCTGAATCATGGAGCCCATTCTGAAACAGAAAGAAGTCCAAAAACCAATAAATCAGTGACCAATAGGTTAACAAAGCATCCAATGACTGAATGTCTCAAAGACAATTAAGGACAATATTTGCATAGCATTCATCACATAACCACTTCTAATACTCATATTCTGATGCCATGGTGAAAGCCCAAAGTAACTTTTCCAGTTTGCTTTTTTCTAATTTTGAAGGTGGTTCTCATGGTTTTCTAGGTTTTTGCAATCCTCAGAAGATTCTAGTTTGGCAATTATTCTATTAGTGGTTCCAGGAACCTCTGGCTGCTTGTCATCACCGTCAAAGATAATGTCTTCTGGATTAGGAGGTGGAGGGCAGAATTCTTCAGTTGGAAAGATCTCCTGGAAAAGCGTTTGAGCTTGCCTGACTGCGTGCTCATTTCCTAGTCCACAGTCAGGCCCAGAGCAGACATAAACATTGGAAGGTAAGCCATTATAGGAGCTTCTGCTGATTTCTGAGGAATCCCTCATATTAAAATAAAGAGCCCACAAGAGTCTTGGCTTTCTAAGTCCTTCCCTGTCTGTTTCTGTTTCAGCATATGGAATGAATAATTTCCTCACCACTGATTCTAAGTCTTCTCTTGCTGTTTTAGAGGACGAACAGGTCAGATGTACCAGATAAGTGTCTTTCATGCATGTCATCGTTGAAGAACATAGTTCAGTGACCCGAACAGCACACATTCCTGGTTCCGCCGGAGGCACTATCAAAATGGAAATCTGCTGATCTGAATCTGTCTTTAGTACAGACTGATCCGTAATGAGCACTGCCCTGGAGATCTGTTTATACTGCACATTTGAGCACGTGTCCTCAGAAAGGTAACTGTCCTCCACAATAAAATATTTAGCATTTATTCTTTGGCCAAAGTGATCTATGATTGCTTGACATCTTCCGGATTCTTTGTCAACTACAAGGCATTGTATTTTATGGCGAAGACAATAGATTCCACCAAAAACTGCACACATCCTGCAGAAACACTGGGGAACTTCTCCTTGGCCATACAAGGGGAATAAAAAGGGGGTGTTGCCAAATCGGCCAAGACACTGAAGGAAGTTTTTTGTTGCTTTAAGGCCATCTATTGTAGTGCAAGACGACTCTGTCATTGCAATTGAGTGCAGTACAAAATGTTGGAGGTTGGGGGTTAATTTTTTAGTTTTTAAGTACTCTGAAAAAGAGCATTGCATGAAAGCTTGGTATTCCTCAGGATGTTGTTCATAGTCTAAACAAAATGTAAGAAATTTCATTAGCATCCTCTTTTCAACCATGGTGAGTGCTTTGCTGTTAAAGACATCTGCTCTGGAACAAGGCACCTGTTCTACTTTTCCTTCCCGAAATGCAAGAATCCTAGTGACATTTTTAAATTCTGCATAACGACTAACATTTGATTTGATTAAAAGGTCAATTAGCAATCCTTGAGAATATAGTAGCTTTGATACCAAATCAATATTAAACCTCCTGCCTTCTTTAACTATTTGAGAGTAAGTAATCCTATTTCTCTTTGGTTGATCAGTGCTATCTTCCACTATAGGTTTGTTTTCATCTTTAGCTCCATCTGAAACTGCGTGTGTACAAGTTTTATCTCCACGATTATTTTCTTTCGCCAGGGTTTCCTCTACATCTGTGACTTCTGGCGAAATCTCTCCATCGTTTTCTGGAGTGTCTTTGGCAGGCATCTCATGCCTTGTAACGCACAAAGAGGGTGTTTCTTCAGACAAGCATGCTGGAACCAGAGGGTTGGTGAGGGGAGTGGGTGCTACCCAGGAAGGAGTTCTCTGTAGGGCATCAGTCTCTTCAATATTGTCATCCACATCCTGACTGGCATAACAGAACACTTCTGTGTGCTGAATGGTTTTGTCCTTGCTGCAAAGGGTGATGGCTTCTTCTGTTTCATGGATCAGGTCCTGCCACGCAGCAGAACCTTCTTCCCCAGGGTCACTGTTTTGCTGACACTCCAACCAGGACAGCAATGCTGAAAAGCTGAAACTAGCCCAGTTTCCTCCATAGTAACTTCTTGAATCAAGATGCAAAACCCTCTGACCACTTCTTGAACATGCAGCTGCAAGGATGGATTCAGGCAAACCTGTCCCTATTACAATCACATCAAACTCTGTCGGGAGACTGTCCGCCATCCTGGGAGGTAGAGCATCTGGTGACAGCTGCCAATGAAGGAAATGTGTATGAATCTCAGCTGAGGGCTCAGATGAGGTGTGAATATGCTGTAATGAAACCTCTCCTTGTGATGTTCCAGTTCATCCCAGAAGTATCAAGATTGCAGGTCCTAGCTGTTTAACTCTTACCCTTTTTTAATATTTTTTTCTTATAGGTCAGTAGCATAAAAACACGACAAAGTACATCTAATCACATCTGAGAATACTAAAATGGATGTGTTGTTTTCATTTCTGCATTTCACCTTAGCAGTAAATGTCAAAATGCATCACACATGCATTTCTGACTGGAACTCTCCTCTGAAAGAAGAAAATTCAAGAAAGAATACAATTGTAAACGATTTAGGAGAAAAGTAATTTCATGCAACAGCAATCACAATCCACTGGAGCCTGGCTCGTTAGCAGGACAGAAGCCTCTACCAAAGCAAGTTATTCAGTGCTCTCTCACCTGTTGTCTGATTTCTTGAAAATGAACAATAGAGATATACTCCTCCAAATCAGGCAGTTCAATCATGAAGAATGGAAATAACGTTCCACAAAAATAAAGAAGAATGAACATAATACAATTCTCTAACTTTTGCTTTTAAGAAAATTAATATTTGAATGAAATTATACCGCGCTGTGAGCTTAGCCTATAAGAAATGTGTGGCTCCCCTGTGTTTATGGAAACAGACTACATACTATGTGCACAATATCATGAATAGGAATATTTCTGTGGCCAATACAGTCTGTGGGTGATCCTAGGACAGCTGACTTTCCCATGTCCCACCCACCCTTAGGATCTCACGGTATCAACATGAGACTATTTCAACTGAATTAACCAGTCAGATCATTACAAAAGGATTAATTCAGTAAAACAACTGTCATTTTAAAATACTTAAGTGCATGAAAAAATAGGTCTACTGAAGGGAAAATGTATTTATAACAAATCTTTGTACGAAAATACATATGCACATGTATATTTTTAGGTGTAAGTTAAAAAGGAAAATTCCCGGGTTCATATGTTAAAATATCTTAATATAATAACACCTACTTCTAACATTTGAATGGCATGGCTTGCATTTTGCCGGACTCTGGCTCTATGACCTTGAATCTCTGTCTCCCAAGAGAAAAGTCTATCTCAACACCCTCTGCCAAGCTTAACATGTTGTCTATTCTTGTTTTTGCAGGGGTAGGAGGCAGTAGTGAAGAAAGGCTCTCCTGTTAACCTTGGGCCTAACGCTGGCTATATTCCATGTGCAGAACATTGGTGTGGCACTGGGTGTGGCCAGAGATAGAAAAGCTAAGGGGGAAAAGGCACACTCAGCTGGAAGTCTTTAGGCTAAAGTGCTCCACACAGCATCTGCTAGGGGGCCGTTCTGTCATTCCTCATTGCGCAGGAAGGGTGCGAGTTCTCTGAGCTCTGATTTCCCTAACCATCAAACTTACCAAAATCGAGATCAGTATAAACCAGGCCCACCTAGGCTAAGATGATCAATTATCTTGGACATTTGTAAAACAAGCCATTCAAGAGTAAATTGACTAGTTCACTGAACTGACTGGTCAATTTAAGTGAAATGACAATCTTAATAGTTCTATCTAGTCAAAGCCTCTGCCTCCAGGATATCAGGGAGTCCTTGTTTTCAGCATTCCCTGAGAAATCAAGAATTGAGCACAGGATGAAGCGGCTGCCTGGCCTACTCATATATATATGTAAGTGTCTGAATGGCTTATTCTGCCTTCTTACAGTAGGGTTGCAGAGGATGGAACCCATGGGAGTATATGAAGAAGCGTAACCATAGGATGTGCTTATTCCTGGCTTAGAAGGGAACAGAGCTGAAGGTGGGAGTAAGAGGAGAGGATACAAGCCTAAGTGCTAAAACCAGGCACCTTCTAACTACAGATATCAAAGAAGTCCTCAAAATACTTCATAGCAAGCAGGACAAGACAAAATTAAAGAACATTTAGCTCCACTACCCCATAAAAGAGATAGGGAAACTGATGGCTGGAGAGGTTAAGCGACTGAGAAAGTCCACAAGATGGGTTAGCCAGAGAATTGAGAGTAGGACCCACTCTCATGCCATCAGGCCAGCAGTCTTTCCACCTGACAGGGCAGCCTCTCCAGAAGCCTCTGGAGCAAGCAGCCACTTCTGGCATTTTGTTATTTCCTCCCCTTCAATACTCCATGGTTGGTTCGTTCCTGCTCAGGGGTAACAAAGGGGGAAGCCCCTCCTTTTCATCTCTAACTCCTACCTGGAAGCACAATCCTTGGGATTTACCCCAGGCGAAAAAATTCTTAATCTTTGCTAAGAATTTTTAAGCTCCATCATAGCCCGCAATTGACTTGTCTCCCAGGGCTTAAACAAGTCTCTCAATCGCTTACTCCAGAGTTTCCACCCCTAATTGAAAGGCAGGGATAAAGTCATGGTTGAAAGCACTAAGTAAATGTCCAGAGAAACAGAGCAGTCATCAGGCAAAATACTGTGTGGTGAACGTTTCCGGCAGTCTTAGAAAACCCCTCTGACGGGGACTGGAGCCAAGCAGGGATGACGAAGGAGGGAAAAAGGATGGAAGTGACAGCAGACAGACACAGCAGGGTGGGGGCACAGAGGGAAGCCATGAGGAAGAGGGTGAACCCGGTACTAATAAAGAACTCAATATACCCTTGTTTTCAAACTCCAGGGCATAAGGTCGGGACAGAAACAGAATTTCCCAGCACAGAAAGAGCACTTCTCCTAAATAAGAACTTTCCTGCCTGTACCAAACCCCTCCCACCCATTTTAGGGAGCGTTAATGACGACACTTTAAGCTTGAGCTTGAATCACCTCTTTAAAGCTTAGCCCTGCCTAAAAAAATGCCTGACCAGGTATTTTAAGCTAATATGAAGAGTGTAATCACACAGGTATCTATATCCCCACTACATACACTTACAGACCCCTCCTAAGTTTCAAATCTTTGTACAAATGAAATTTCTGGAGCACACACAAAAAGATAATTTCTTCTCCACGCTGAGAAAACCACAACTTCGATGATACGCTGGGTGGATCATCCTTCAAAATGTCAAGGCTCAGCGAGACTTAAATGTCCCCTAAGGATTAACAGTATCGTTTCAATAACTCTTCAATTAACAATCCAGTTCTACTTTAGTGAAACCTTCTGGCTGCACAGGTAATTATTTGTTCATCTGAGTTGGGATTCCCTGAGCCATGTACAACCTCACCTTAGATTCTGGTGTGCTGGAACCTACAGGGAGGAAAATATAGTAAAAATAGTTTATGGGGCTCATGCCAATTTGCATTCTGAGGACCTGAATGAAAAGATCTCACTTCCCGGGAAGCATGCAAAGGTTTACAACAGCTAATGAGCAACATTTTTTTTAAAAAAATTACACATTGCTACTCTGTTAGGTTTCTATGTTTCATTTTAGGAAAGAAATAGTATATGAATTAAATCTCTTCTCATCACCCTCTCCAACTTTCGCGAGTTAATCACTTTTTCTTGAATCTCTTGACTCTAGGGTCCCTCGTTTCTTCCCACAAAGTGTAAAAGACGTTTCGTGCCCTGTTGAATTCTATGAGGAGGTGAACACAGAGACAGGAGATGAGCTGGAGCTAAAAGGGGAGCTGGGATGCAGCCCGGCTGCGTTAGGGTCGGCGGGGTGAGGAGCTGCAGGGAGGCGGCCGGAGCAGGGAGGGGGGCGCGGCCGGGGGGAAGCAGGGGGCGCGGCCCGGCGGGGAGCAGGGGGGCGCGGCCAGGTGGGGAGCAGAGGGGCGCGGCCGGGGGGGAAGCTGGGGGTCGCGTCCAGCCGGGAGCCGGGGAGCGCGGCCAGGAGGCGGGAGGGCGCGGGCGAGGCAGGGCCCGGAGTGTGCAGAGGAGCGCAGGAGGCCCGACTCACCGCAGAGGCTGCTGCTAAAGCCGTCCCACGCGCAGCCCACGGCGTCCCACACCCAGCCGTTCCGCAGGCAGGACACGAAGGTAAAGGTGACCCCGAAGAGGGCCACCAGCAGGTCGCTGAGGCTGATGTTGACCAGCAGGAGGTGGGTGGGCGTGCGGAGCCGCGGGAACTTGGAGTAGAGGACGAGCACCAGCAGGTTGTTGCCCACGCCCAGCAGCCCGAGGCAGCCGAGCAGCAGCGCCAGGCGCTCGTAGGTGCCCGGGCTGAAGAGCGGCGCGGGGCTCAGCGGCCCCGCCGGCCCCGGGCCCTCAGCGCCCGCCGCCGCGCCGCCCTCCCAGGAGCCCTGGCCGCCGCTGCGGTTCCCCGCGTACATGGCCCGGCCAGGCGCTCAGCCACCCGCCCGGCCCGCGACGCGCTCTGCACTGGGTGGGGCGCGGGCTCGGCCGCCCGCTCGGGCCATTGTGCGCGCGGGCCTGCGCCGCCCGCCCCGCCTCCCCACCGCCCGCCGCCCGCCGCCCCGCCTCCTCGCGCCGCCCGCCCGCCCCGCCTCCCCGCCTCCCCGCCCCGCCGCCCGCCCCGCCTCCTCGCTGCCCCTGACTCCCGGGGCGCCCGCGCTGCCCGACCCTCCCGGTGTGCGCGCTCCCGCCGCTCCCCCAACCCAACCCCTGGCGGTGCTACTGCCTCCCCCAACAGCTCGCCAGGTCCCCCTACCGCTGCCCCATCGAGTGCCCGCGAGCGTGCACGCGCGTTGGGGCGAGCCGGGAGGGTAAGGCTCACTTAAGCCTTCGCTCCCTCCTGAAGGAGCCTGAGCGCCTGCGCCTGCCCTGTGCTGGCTGGAGGGTTGGGTGAGGGACTCCCGCCCTAGGCTTCTCCCCTTACCGGGAAGCTGTAACAACCCTCTGCTAGCCTACAGCGCCACCCTCATCTCGCACGCTTAATGTAAGCCCCGGGCTGGACCCCAAGGCCTGCCAATAGTGTCCTCTGTCCCGCTCTAAGTGGTAGGAGTATCCTGTTACTGAGGTACGCCAAGCCCTTCGCTGGCAGTGACTGTCCAAGCCGTGCCTTCAAGCTTCAACCTAAATCTAGCAGGTATAGAGACGTGGGTGCTTTATTTAGAACAGCACACATTTGCCACGTGGCCGTTTCCCCAGTAGCAATGAATATATAGTACAAGCCAAATATAGATTGTGAACGTGATCACGCTCTGCCAGGGCTCTGTCCCTCTGTCCCTGAAAAGTCCCTAAAAAGGCCCCACAGGAGGACCTGAGCCAGACCTGCAGGCTGTCCTGGGTACTGGTGGCCGGTGTTTGTGGAAGGGCAACTGTTTACCCCTCCCACCTCTGTTCAAAACACCAGTAAAGAATGAGTCGCTGCAATGAATCCCTCTTCCAGATTTCCCTGGAGACAGAATCTGGTAGGCAGGGCGGGGTCAGCTCTCCGCCCTGGTGCATTGAGCAATAGCCGAAGGGCAGAGTGCTCTGCCCTCAAAACCTTGGTTTGTCTTTCACGCTTCCAATCTGGACTTGACATCTCTGAGACTAACCTACCCACTCCTTTAAAAAACTCATTTAATTATATATTTTAGATTTATGCAACCATTTAACAAGTTCTGTATGTTTAATGTCCACCGTGTTTTCAGATAGTGCCTAGTATACAGTAAATGCTCAATAAATATTGGTTGAATGAATGAATAAAGAAGGAATCACTGATGTTTTTTCTGAAGTATTCATTCATTCTTTCTCTCTTTGGGGCTGAGTCCCTGCCCTCATAAAGCTCAAATTCTAGTGGTTTTGGGAGAGCAGATGATAAATAAGTACAAGCAGAGGGTGTCAGTTGCTGATAAGTGCCATAAAGAAGGATCAGGCAGAGAAAGGGTGTGCGGGAGGGAAGGCAGAGGATGCTATTTTGTACACGGTGGTCATGGACAGCATCACCGAGGACTGCAGGCATAGGACACATGTCCTGGGGTGGTTGTACCAATATGACTGGAGCAGAATGAGAATGAAGAAGTGAGGGCAGAGAGATGGGTGAGCAGTGACTGGCCAGATCATGCAGAAGCTTGGCTATTTTAGCAAAAGACCTTTGGCTTTTCCTCTATCAGAGTAAAGCCCAGCGCAACACCTATGCGAGAGGAATCCTAACAGTAAGGAAATAAAGGAATAAGAGGCTTTGAGCAAATTTTTAAGAATTTTGATAGAGTTATTTTTACAATACTATGAACTGTTAAGGATATTTATTATACTTGACAGAAACAGGCACTGATACCACAATATGATTTATTTTCCCAATAATGTGTGTTTCTGTTCATCTTCAGAATTACGTAATGATAGGATGATAGCAACATATCACAACTTAAACAGGAAATGCAGTCTTGGCATAAGGATAGACACATAGACCAATGGAATAGAAGACAGAGTCAAGATACAAACCGTCACACAGATGGTCAGTTGATTTTCAACAAGAGTGCCAAAACCATTCAATGGGGAAAGGACAGTCTTTTCAACAAATGGAGCTGGGAAAACTGGAATTCCACATGCAGAAGAACAAAATTGGACTCTTATTTTTACACCTTATAGAAAAATTAATGCAAAAAAGATCAAAGTTTGGGACTGGCCCTGTGGCAGAGTGGTTAAGTTCACCCGCTCTTCTTTGGTGGCCCAGGGTTTCACCAGTTCGGATCCTTGGCACGGACATGGCATCGCTCATCGCTGAGGAGGTGTCCCACATACCACAACTGGAAGAACTCACAACTAAAATATACAACAATGTGGCCGGGAGATTTGGGGAGAAAAAGCAGGAAAAAAAAGAAGATTGGCAACAATTGTTAGCTCAGGTGCCAATCTTTAAAAAAACAAAAATCAGAGCTAAACTTAAGCACTAAAACTATAGAACTCTTAGAAGAAAACATAGGGGAAAATCTTCATGACCCTGAATTTGGTAGTGATTTCTTAGATATGACACCAAAGGCATAGACAATAAAAATGAAAACGGATAGGGGCTGGCCCGGTGGCGTAGCAGTTAAGTACGCACATTCCGTTTCTCAGTGGCCCGGGGTTCACCGGTTCGGATCCTGGGTGCAGACATGGCACCGCTTGGCATGCCATGCTGTGGCAGGCGTCCCACTATAAAGCAGAGGAAGATGGGCATGGATGTTAGCTCAGGGCCAGTCTTCCTCAGCAAAAAGTGGAGGACTGGCAGCAGTTAGCTCAGGGCTAATCTTCCTCAAAAAAATAATAATAATAAATAAAAATGGATAAATTGGACTTCATCAAAATTAAATTAAAAATTTTTGTGGATCAAAGGACACTTTCATGAGAATGAAAAGTGAAAGACAACACATAGAATAAATGAAAATATTTGCAAACCGTGTATCTGATAAAGGACTAATATCCAAAATATATAAAGAACTACTACAACTCAACAATAACAACAAAAAAACCCAAATAACCCAATTCAAAAATGGGCAAAGGACTTGAATAGACATTTCTACAAAGATACACAAATGGCCAATAAGCAAATGAAAAGATGCCCAACATCATTAGTCATTAGGGAAATGCAAATCAAAACCACAATGAAATACCACTTCATACCTACCAGGATTATCAAAAGATAAAAACAGAAACAAAAAATGAAAAATAAGTGTTGGCAAGAATCTGGAGAAATTAGAACCCTGGTGTACTGCTGGCAGGAATGTAAAATGGCGCAGCCACTATGGAAACAGTTTGGCAGTTCCTCAAAAAGTTAAACACAGAATTATCATTTGACCCAGTAATTCTGCTCTTAGGTATATACTCAAAGGAATTGAAAACAGGAACTGGAACAGGTATTTGTACACCAATGTTCAGAGCAGCGTTATTTATAATAACCAAAAGGTGGGAATAACCCAAATGTCCGTCCACAGATAAATGGATGAGCAAAATGTTTTGTACACATACAGCGGAATGTTCTTCAGTCATAGAAAGGAATGAAGGACTGATACACGCTACAACATGGCTGAGCCTTGAAAACATTATGCTAAGTGAAATAAGCCAGACACAAAAGGACAAATATTATATGATCCCAGTTATAGGAGGGACCTAGAATAAGCAAACTCATGGAGATAGAAAGTAGAATAGCCCTTACCAGGAGCTGGGGGGAGGGAAGAACGGGGAGTTTGTGGTTAATGGGTACAGAGCTTCAGCTGGGGTGATGCAAAAGTTCTGGAGATGGATAGTGGCGATGGGCGCACAACACTGTGAATGTACTTACTGTCACTGAATTGTACACTTAAAATGGTTAAGATGGTAAATTTTATGTTATGTATATTTTACCACAGTAAAAAAGCATATGCAAATTGTGCCTGTGTCTCAATCTCTCAGAGTAGAAGTCAACAGATGTGGCCAGTTTGTTGAGCAAGCTGGACTCACTATGGTGCAAGCAAAACGTAACTACAGTCTCTCCCCTACTCATTTCAAATGTCTCCTTTCCACCTGTTCTTTACTGTCCCTCGATGACATTTTCTTGGGTCCCAAAGCCTGTCTGGTCACTTTTGATTAATATAAGCTCCAGAAGATTGTAATATTGAAATGCTAAAACTCATGGAAAACTCACTTGTCTACCCTCCAAAATAGAGCCTACTTCAGGCCTGGAGAACTTCCATGGGGGAGATGTGGAGGCGGCAACAAGTTTAGCTTCTCCCATTTCCTTGATCCCCTACCTTTATATGCTGCTCTGGGATTTTGAGGAAAAATCTTCCTTGATTGGTAAAGTTGTCATCTGGTGTTGGTGCTCTCTGATTGCAGCAGATTTTAAATGCTGTGTTTTTCTGCTGAAGGGTGATTTGTTGCTTCTCTAGAGGACCTGAGGTCACTGGAGATCTTTCTCCCACAGCTCGCTTGACAGGGCAGTGCCTCTGTCCGCTGGCTGCTTAGGTCGCCCTGACAGACCCTGGTAGGGTCCTCTAGACCTGCAGATGTCTTCTCCAGCAGGGTCCCTCCCAAGATGACCTGGTTTGGCTCCTCTGCTCATAGTCTGGCCTCTTGGCCCTCTGCAAATACGTATGCATCCTTGCCCCACCAAGTTCTGGGTATGGCCTGCTATGGAGAACTGGCCAGCACCGTCTCGCCCCTTCAGTCCCCACAGAGTGGAAACAAGTGGGGAAAAGTCATGACCCCTTGACTACTCTGAGAATTCTTTGTAAGGAGGTGCTCATTAAGTGTCTCCTCAACATCCTAATGAACCTGCCTTCTCCCAAGTAGTTTGAAGGTGAGAACAGGCAGAACTGGTTTCCCAGTGCCGACACACATCCTCCTGCCTGGGCTGTGCAGCACTGCCCTTTAACATGGGGAGAGTGTTCAGGTCAGTCACATTGTGGAGCCTCACCCAAGACAGAAGGAAGTCCATTTCAATATCTTCCTACACTGGAGCATTAAAACATCACAATCCTATATTCCACAAAGTCCTTGTAAAGTATAAGGGGTGATAAGGGAGAATGGAGACAGGTTGTATCTGCCATCCTTGCTTGGCAGCACTGATAACCACCAGCCTCCTGTGCCTTGCATTAGCAGCTGAGAGGGAACTTCAGCCCTTAGTCTCGTCCAAGGGCTCGAACGCATGCTTCCTTGGCCTCTCTAACCTTGGTCCCTGGTGAGAAGCAGAAGAGCCATTTATATATCTGCATCTTTTCCTGCTTTAGGAAATGTAATTTAGTGAATATAATTGAACCTTTTAAAAAAGAATCTGGAATGCCTTCAGGTTCTGAATCTCGATTCTCCTTGTGCATACAGCTCCTCAGATGTGGGAGATGCAGGAATCAGCTTAATGTACAACTTGTGTACCTGTCCACATTCCTCTCCCCCAAAATACATCCATTGGTTTAAAAATGAAATCTCATTTATAACCTTGCTCTCAAAAGTAGAGTTTGGGTAACCAAGCAGTCAGGGAAGAATAAACATTCAATTTCTTAGAGGAACTGGTTAGTGAAGTTATGATTAGTATATGTGTGTGTATATATATATAATAGCCACATCAATATCCACTATAGTGAAATTTTGATATACTGTGGACAAAGAGAGCACTTATACGCTTCTTGAAGGGGAAAAAATAAAAAGTTATGTACAAAGGATCTGGAATCAGAATAGCTTACAATCAGCAACTTTTTGAAGCTGATCAAAATAGACTTCTTATAACAGCAACACTAGAAGCAAAAAAACAGTGGAATAATCCCTTCAAAATGTTGAAAGAAAACAATTTCTGACCTAGAATTCTATGCTCAACCAAATATCAATCAAATGCTAGAGAAGATTAAGGATATTTTCAGACATGCAAGGTATCAAAAATTTATCCTCCAGGTACTATTTCCAGATATGTGCCACCAAAATGAGGGAATAAACTATGGAAAAGAAAGACATAGAATAGAAGAGAGAGGATGAGGGAATTCCCAAAATGATGGCAAAGGGAGATAGCAGCCTGACAGCTATACCCTGGTATACATAAGGCATTGGGGCAGGCTGCAGGGATGTGACTTGAGACAGACGTGAGGAATGTTATCAAGATGCTTCTGCTCTTGCATCATCTTCTTATCCTGAAAATGCCTGGGTGAGCAGGGCCCAGATTCTTAGCAGCAGCCGGTTGGCCTGCATCATGCCCTTCGGACACCTGCCCTTCTCTCTGTGCTCTGCCACATGCGCCAGCTGAGAGCCGTCATTTCACCCCAGAGGAGATCTCCACTGACGTATCCTGAGAACAAGAGCTGGCCATGTGAACTCAGAAGCAGAAAATGCAGAGCCACCTATTGCTCCTTACAGGATTTCTGCCCCATGGCAGGTGCCTGGGCCCTGTCACAGACCCACCGAGGACCTATCTTAGTCCTAATTATAGGCCCGTATCTATGAGCCTTGTGTTGTGGCCCTGGCCACTGACTTCCACACTTGGCCTCTGATAAGACTCGTAGATGCTGAAGATAAACTAACTCAAGGAAACCATTCCACCTGTCTCTTTTCCCACAGCCTTTCTCTAATAGTGGCAATATTATTTCTTTCCTTACATAGCTGGAATTGTGTTTGCTTCTGAATTTTTATATCAATCACTTTTCACAATCACTTATATATAAAAAGTAATTACTAAAATAAAATATTTGGTGAGAAAAATAGATGGAAAGGAAAAAAGAAAAATTGCACTTATGAAGGATATTAGACACATGGGGACTTTTATGAAATAATACATTCCTATTTAAACAATGTGCATAGTTCTATTGAAACTGCATAAAATTATCAAAGTATATGGCCTGGGCCTAGAAGAAAATCAACAGGTTTGTAAGAGTGATGGGAGCATGAGTGATTTCTTTTAATGTTCTTTAAATTGGTGGTTCTATCATTTTTGCAATTGCACAAATACAAGTACAAATGTATCCTGTAGCTCGACAAATGGCCGTCATAGCTGTGAATTGCTCCAGCACACACTTCTAAGATGTTCACAGAAGGTGCTGCTGTTAATATGTGTTTATACTGACTGTCTCCACATCCCCCTTCCCCTCCTGCCATTCACTGAGAGAGCTCCTCTCAAGGTCACCATAGTCCACCTTCCAATGGTTAACCCTTGCTCCTCACCTTGCGTAGCCTATCAGCAGTATTTGGCACAGTTTACTGTTCCTTTGTATTTTAATGCTTACCTGTAAATGTTTCCGTATGTAACTCTAAAATGTAACATCACATAAATAACAGTATAACATAAAATATAATGATCCTATCTAAAATATTGAACAGTAATTTCTCAATATCTTCAAATATCTAGTCAGTGTTCCAATTTCAAATTATCTCATAAATGTTGTAATTATTTTTCAGTTTGGTTGTTGAGTCAGGATCTAAACAGAGTACACACTCCATGATTGGTTGGTGTGTCTGTAAAGTTCCTTTTAATTATTGGTCTCCCCTCCTTCTTTTTTCTGTCTATGCAATTTCTTTATTGAATAAACTGGGTTTATTTCTTTCTTGAATAAAATGGATTGTCCCTCCAAAGCCTCCTTCCTTTTCAAAACACTTTCGTCTCTTGGCTTCTGAGATACTCCTTTCTGTTGGCTCTCCTCCTACCTCACTGGCCACTCCTAGGCAGAGACTAATCTCTGTCACTGGTTCTTCCTGATCACTCTGAGCTCTGAGCCTGGCATGCTCAGGGTTTGGTCCTCAGCTTTCTTTCTTCTCCGTCTATGTTGATCTCAGATGATCTCGTCCAGTCCAATGGCTTTAAATACCACCTAAAGCTGATGAGTCTCAAGCTCTCCCCCAAATCCTGGACTCTCACATCTGGTTATTCGACACCCACAATTCTTTATCTAATAGACATCTTTGCATGTCCCAAATTGAACTCTTAATTCTCCTTCCAAAATCTGTTCCTCCCACCGACTTCTTCCCAAGAAGTAAATGACAACTCTATCCTTTCAGCTTCTCGGGGCCAGAATCCAGGAGAGATCCTCAATCCTTGTTTTGCTCTCACACTCCATCTAATCCATTAGCAAATCCTGTCACATCTACCTTCCCCAATCTGACCACTTAGCCCTATCTTCATCACTGGTATCATAGTCTAGGCCACTCTCATCTCTTATGTGGATTATTGAAATTGCCCCCCAGTTAGTTTCCCTGCTTCTAACCTTTCTCTCCTTTGGTTTATCTCCATAAAGCAGTTGGAGGAAACTCTTTCAAATGTAAGTCAGAACATATCACTATTCTACTCACTTCCCATCTCACTCAGGGGAAAAGCTGAAGTCCTTACAACAACCTATAAGGTCCTACAGGATCTGGTCCCACCCCCCCTCCCCCCATGCTCTGACCTATCTTCCTACCTCTCTTTCCCCATCCCGCATCACCCCGGGCACGTGGCCTTTTTGTTCTTTCTCAGATATGTCAAGCACACTTTGATCTCAGGACTTCACGTCTGCTCTTCCCTGGAACACCCTTCCTCCTTTTATCCACGTGGCTTGCTACCTCACTTCCCTCTGCTCTGTGCCCACATGTCTTCCGATTAATGAGAACTTCTCTGAGCTCCCTAATCCCTTTACTTTGATTTATCCCTAGCACACAGCTTTTCCCTTTTTCTTCACAGCACTTAGCACCTTCTGATCTGTTATCTGCTTGTTTGCCTTCCTCCTTAGATTGAAAGCTCAAGAAGCTGTTTTGTTCATTGCCGTATCCTCAGTGCCTGAACCAGCAGCTGGCGGGAAGCAGACGCTCAATAAACATTTGCTGAATGAATGGATGGATGACTATAAGAATGTGCGCATTAGAATTGTGAAAGGTGGTCTTTCAGAGGTCGCTACTCAGTACCTTGAAAGTTTAAAGGGAAAAGAAAAGGAGTTAGTTAGGAGATTTTTTTCTATATGAAAACCTTACTTTGCTCTCCTCATAGTCATCAGCGGTGGACACCAAGGAGACAGTATCGGTTCTGGAAGTGCCCAGCAATGCCATCTACTTCTCCTCTGAATGCAAGCATTTGCAGATGTCTTTAAAGATGGACCTCATCTGACTCACCTAAACCATTGGCAGTTAACGAATTGTTGATAAAACACGAGACAACCTCTCCTTCCCATAAAGAGCTGAATATTGGAAAATGTGATTCAATAGCAGTTGGGCTAAATGGGTTTGGAGCACTGGAGATTGCAATGAAGGGAAAGGAGGTGTGCAGACAAACCTCTTCTCGTTCAACTCATAACACGTGGAAGAACTGCCCTCTCAATCAGGAGCTACCCCTTCCCCATCCCCGGCTCATTTTATTATTTTAATTGAAGGACAACGCATAAAGGAAGAGGCATTTTTATTCTCTATGACCTCTAAAAATATCTTCATCTGTGGTAGAAGGGACAGATGCTGAAATACCTTTTCATCTTTAGAAGTTCACGTTTCCATATGCAGTACAGCTGCGAGAACGAATGTGAATTTTACTCTCCCCCGCATCCTGAGGAAGGCAAAAGGTTGAGGCGAGAGGAGTTGAAGGAGGGAGAAAGTAATGCCCAGTTTTCTCATTTGGTCTTTAGCCATTCTTTTTCCCTCTCTGGCAGTGTACACACACCCACACCCACCCACATACCTCCTACACACACACACAATTTGTAGGGAAAGAGATCTCAGTCCCCTCCTCATGAAGGAAGGAGGATGTTACAGAGATATTATGATGCAATGGGGACCATGTGAAGGACACTGCTAACATTATGAGGTCAGGATTTTTACTGAAATGTTTGCCCACATGCAATACTCTAGACATAAGTCAGCGTTCCTCCCTGCTACCATCCTAGTGGCAACTCCTACTCCTGTCTGCAATATGGGATTTTAACTCAACGGCATGAGACCCAGGGCAAAAACTGAGACAGCAAGGAGGCACCGTAACAACTAGAAGGTTTTCCAAGTTGGCAAATTTGTGCTATCATTTCTGTACAGAAATAAAAGATTCCCTCTGTCCCTATGGATAGCAGGGAGGAAAAGCATTTGAACATCGCACTTCAGATTAGCAGTTTCAGGGCAGCCTTGAAGGAGTTTGAAAAATTGGCTGAACGTGTAGCGGCCCAAAAAAGAGATGAAAGAGCAGGCTTGTTTATCCAAAAGGAAGGTAAGTTCAGTGATTACAGGGAAGTCCAGCTGGGTCTGATGGTTGGAACTGGGAAATGTTTTAAGCCATGAGAGAAGCAACAGAGCTTAATAGCAGAGATGCTGAATGAGGGCCTGAGTCCTCGATCTGACTCTGTCTTTACTCAGCCAAGTGGACTTGGAGAAGCTTCTTTCACTTTGCTGAACCACAGTTGTCTCAAATGTAAAATTAGAGGGTTGGATTAAATGATATCTAAGGGTTCTTCTGTGGGATATACCATGGGATGGCCCCCTGGTTGACCTGGGACTCTCAGTAGTGCATAGTGACCATTAACAAGCCACGTGAGCCAACTGCCATCTCTTAAGGGTATCATGAGACCATAAAGACTTTCATAAGCAGAGCAATATATGTATATATACACGTATACTATACTAAAGTGTAATATACTATAAAATATATATCTTGATATATCTATAAAATATATATATTCTCTGTTTCTGTCTCTGTCTCTCTGTGTATTTACATATTTGATAAAAACTGAGTACTGCTAGATAAGTTACCTTCTACAACAGAAGGACTGACCTAAAAGTCTGAGAAGGGGAAAATGCGATCTTAACTTTCAACAGACTGCTAATACTGGCATGCATTCATATTCATTCACAAATTCTGGAAAATAGGGTCTACTTGTCACCATAGGCAAGAAGCTAAGCACTAAAGAGAATGTTTCTAATGGACAGTTGTCTACCTCAAAAATGATATTAAGTACACTGCAGGAATTCATCTCTGCATTATTGCTCTGAAATCTTCTTGTCAATGACCTGATAGAATTAAATCATCCCGGGAAGGAGAGTCTTATCATCCTCACCCAGCAGCATTTAGAATGAGACACATGTCCTATACTGGTTGGTGTGAATTTAAAACACATAAGCTATTTGGAGATCTCAGAGAAGTTTCAAACTTAATGTGACCAATATGGAATACTTGATTTTCCCCAAGAATCATGGCCCTCCCTTGTTTTGGTAGATAGTACCAACATCTGCTGAGTTTGAAGACCAGAAACCTGAGTGTCATTCTAGAACAAGGTTTCTCAACTTTGGCACTACTGACATTTGGGGCTGAATAATTCTTTGTTCTGTATGTGTGTGTGTGTGTGTGTGTGTGTGTGTGTGTATGTGTGGAGGGCTATTCTGTGCATTATAGGATGTTCAGCAGCATCTCTGGCCTCTACCCACCAGAAGCCAGTAGCACTGCCTCCCCTAGTTATAACAATCATAAATGTCTGCAGACATTGCCAACTCTGTGGGAAAGGGAGGGCAAAATCTCCCCTGGATAAGAACCACTGCTCTAGAGTCCTGCCTGTCCTTCACTCACCACTTCTGCCCCAACCACTTCCAATCCGTTAGTGAGTCTTTGCAATTCTACTTCCAACCATATCTCACCATCTCAAGCGCTCTGTCTTGGCTGCCATATCACTTGTCATCCAACTGAGGACACTCAAGAGTGAAACGGGTTGTTATTAATAACTAAGCTGAGAAAATAGGCATAAATGAGACTTTCCTTGGCAGCCTAGGATGCACGACCACCCTCTGTATCACCCTGGCCCAAGCCTCCAGCATCTGAAACCTGGGCTAAGGCACTAGACCCTCACTGATATATAGTTTTCTCTCTTAAATCTCCTCACAGCAGCCAGTGTGCTTTCAAAAAATTTTTTAAGTCAACTCTTGTCATTTTCCTGCATAAAAGCCTCCAGCGATGGCTTAGCATCATGCTTAGAATACAAATTTCTGACTCTAGCTCAGCCTCCTTCACCTCTGATCTCACCTCACTGCATTCTCCCTGTCCTCTCTACACTCCATACTCACGGACCTTCCAGAACATGCCGTACTGTTTCCCGCCTCAGCGTCTTTTGGTTTGTCAGCCTCTGCCTAAAACACTCTTGTCTAGCTTTACACATGGCTGACTCCTTTTTGTTTATCAGGTCTCAACTTAATATTTTTACCCAGGTCCTTAGATAGAACTTCCCAGAGGTCCACCTCCACCCACCACCACCAGATGGTTCTGTCACGCCTCCCTATTGGTTTTCTTCCCAACACTTACCTCACTCTAGATTTAATGCTTTTTCTTTGTTACTAAGGTACGACATACATACAGTAAAGCCCATAAAGTGCACTAATCTTAAGTATATAGCTTGATAAATTTTGACCTTAGTAAACACACCTGGTAGCTCCCAACCAGATCAAGACAACATTTAGTGTCCCAGAAAGTCCCCCCATGCCCTTCTCACCTAATATGTCTCTAGGAACTAGTCTTGCGTGTCACAATCTGTAAATATTTCCTTTGTTTGCTCACTTGTTGATTTTCTGTTTTTCCCACTATTATGTAAATTCCCTGAAGGATGGATGTTGTCTATCTAGTTTTCCATTCCAAGTCCAGTGTCTAGCTCTGTTCTGAGACATAACAGATGCTCAATGCATTTTTGTGTCTAACTCCTTCTTGCCCTTGGTCATACTCCAGTGAATCACCAAATTTGGCAAAATTAATATTTATCAATGGTGTGTTTTTGCGTGTGTGTGTGTGTGTTTACATAATGTCGAAGAACCAATCGAGACTTGCTCTTTGTCACTTCTAAACTTCCACTCAAGGTGAACTCTGGCAGATACCCCTGATCAATAAAACTTTTCACAATAGGAAAGAGGTCATTCATTTTCTTATCTTTGTGTTCCTGAGCAAAACTCCTAAAATAGTGGAAACAAAAGCTATCGAGGAGGTACTAAACACCAAAGTAAAATACTTACTTTTGACTAAGTAATATTTAAGCCAAGGACCTAGTTATGTTTCCAGTGAAAAGATCTTTAAAATGCAAAAGAATCTGGTTTTTATAGGTTGAAACCATACAATAGACTAGCGAATAGAAAAAACAGCTGAAAAAAGACAATATAGTTCTTGGAATTTTATGACAACGTTCTTGTACTTTGTTACAATGCAGATGCAATTGATTATGACAAGTTTTATGCGACAGTACAGGAACTCTTCGGTCCAGAAGTGAAGAATCAAGATGCGAAATGCTTTTACAGGAAACTCTGCAACAACCTCGATGCCTCTATAGACTGGTGTGAGGTAGTCACTTTTCATGTTTATAATATGAAATCCATGCATTATTTTTCTTTATTTAGAATAAATAATTAAAGTGTTACGCCTACAGAGGTTAAACCCACAATATGGTGGCATGTTTAAATGCCTACACCCAGGAAGACATGGCCGCTGCCCATAGAATAAACCAAACGGATGTTTAACTGTATTATTAATGAGTAACTTTTAAATACGTTTAGACCAAGCCGCCAATTGGAAGAACTACACATGCCATTAACAACAACTAATATATTAATGGCCTTCATTATATTCTCCATGAATTATTCCTTTTCAACAGTGTCAATATACACAAATTTCGGTGTATCCAAATTCTTAACAAAAGAGAAGAAAAAGGCTACAGCTGACTACCTCTTACATTTCCTGAGTCATTTTATGAATAGCACAGTATTGACTCCTTAGATATCATTCTGATGTTCTTGGAAGAACACATAGGAGTGTGTTTGTTTGTTCAGTGATCTGTGGACGACGGTAAAGGAGAGAGGAAGGGCTTTTATCCTACTTTAAACTCACAGAAGACCACACTCTAGATTTGTCAATAAACCAGATTGTTCCTATGCTAAAAGGACTTGAGGTAGCTTACAACTTAAAAAATTGCACACCTGCATGCAGGGTAATTAAAATGACTTAAAAGTTATCTGTTCCAAGGTGGGTTAAAATATAAGTTGCATACAGGTTTTTATTTTCTTTTACCAGCTCTTCATTCTCTCCAAATGTTCTGCCCTGAATGTGTGTTCCTTATGTAACCAGAAAAATAAAATGAATCACGAAGTATGGAGCAAGTCCTTTAAATAAGATAGTTCAAAGAAAATTAGTATACTAATGCATCATTAATAGTCATAAAATACTCCAAGCATGTCATGCATATAATTACTAGACTGAAATTTAAACTGTTGAAAAAGAAATTTGAGATCCTTGAGGTTACAGCCTACCCTGGGGAAGGAGATATTTTCTTTAAAAACGTTATTTGATTGAAACATTTCCTTTTGAAATGTAAAACTTTGTCTCTTCTGAAGGAGTTTATCTGGTATATTATCTCTTAAATTATTCCTCAAGAAATTTCAGTAATTTGATGTTTTTAGTATCCTTTTGAAATTATTTACGGCAAGCATTGTAATATTGTGTTATTACGAGTAAAAACAGCAAAATTTCTCTTTCCATAAGAGCAGATGTTCTACATGATGGCACCTACCTCCGTGTAGAGTGACTCTAAAGTACATAACATGACTGATGGCTGACTGATACACTTATGTGCACGGCTGACGCGCTGTCTGGGCAGGCAGCAAAGATGTCTGGTGGACAATTTGAACTAACAAAGAGGATACCTGAGCTCTGTTTCCTGTATTGACCCTTGAAAAATTGAGAATTATATTTACTCAGATGTTGACATTGATTGAATTCCTACCTGGCACTTGGGGCAATCTACATACTTCCTAACCTTCCTAATTACTTAGTACTCTAACCATGCACTTCCTCATTTAATCCTCAGACCAAGGCATAGGGCTGGGGTTATTATTGATTATCCTTGTCTTGCAGATGAAACTAAGGAACTTGCCTGAGGTCCTATGAGTATTAGGCAGTAGAATGGGGATTTGGATCCATGCCCAAGACTAAAGCACCCAATATTGCCTCGCATAGGACACTCCAGGATTTCTTCCCACATCTCTTCTCAGACACTTAACAAATACGCTGTCATTACCTCCATAAAACTTACACCAAAATTACAAATCAAGTTAAATGACTGTAAACTGCTTTTTGAATATGGGTATCATAGACACATAGGACATTATTTCAAATTCGTATAGGACAACACACATGGTGGGGAGTTCTCCCACCCCTAAGAAACAGCGGAATTGATTAGCACAGAAATGATCATCAGCCCCATACCATTTCACATTATTACCTGAAAACTACTTTTTCACACTATCATCTGAGGTTAAATTGGCTGCTAATATTCATCAGTTTTTGGTTGTATTTTGCACGAATAGTTGAAATTGTACTGAATTGCACTTATAAAATGAGGATGTGATAGGATTCTAAAGGTGTCCCCACTCCCGAGATTCCTGTGCCCTGGTTATTCAGTCAAGCACTAATGTAGGTCGTGCTGTGAAGGGACTTTGCAGATGCACTTGAGGTTACTAATCAACTGACCTTGAAATAAGGAGATTATCCCGGATTACCTGCACCCAGTGTATCACACGAGACCTTAAAAACAGAAAAGGAAGGCAGAAGAGAGATTCCAAGCATGAGGGGGGTTTGAAGCACCATTGCTGGTGCTGAGATGTACGGGCCCATGGACTAGGGCTGCAGAGAGGCCTCTGGAAGCTAAAGGCAGCCTCAGTGACAATCAGAAGGAAACGGGGGCCTCAGGCCAACAACCTGAATGACTTGGAAGAAGATTCTTCCTCAAGTCTTCAGCAAAAACCACGTCTCTACTGACATTTTGATTTCAGCCCAATGAGACCCATTTTGGACTTCTAGCCTATGGGACTGTGAGCTAATAAATGGGTGTTAAGTCACTATGTTGTGATAATTTGTTTCAGTCACAATAGAAAACTAATACAGAGGGCATGGTGTCAAAGTTCAAAAAGTATGTGTCGGGCCGGCCCGGTGGCGCAGCGGTTAAGTTCGCAGGTTCCGCTTCTTGGCGGCCCGGGGTTCACTGGTTTGGATCCGGGGTGCGGACATGGCACCACTTGGCACGCCATGCTGTGGTAGGCGTCCAACATATAAAGTAGAGGAAGATGGGCACGATGTTAGCTCAGGGCCAGGCTTCCTCAGCAAAAAGAGGAGGACTGGCAGTAGTTAGCTCAGGGCTAATCTTCCTCAAAAAAAAAAAAAAAGTATGTGTCTGCTGTTACAACCAACAAAAGCCAAAATGTGCCCATAAGAGGAATTCAAATTCAACAGCAATGGAAGGAGGTGCAACACTTAGAGGAGGAAACTGGAGAAGAGAGAGGCAAGAAAAGGACTAAGGATTGTTAGCTACAATCGACTTTGGAAGGACTAAGTATTATCATCTATAATCAACTTTGGAAGGTTTGCTGTATTTTTGTTTGTAAGATGGGAGAGATTTGGACACGCTGACAGGAAAGGTCAGTAGAAAGGGAGAGGTAGAGAGAAGACATGAGGGAAAAAGGAGACCATCTCGGAGGAGACAAAAGGAGACCGGACGCAGAGAACGGTGGAGGGATTGGTGTTGGAAAGGAGAAACGTGTCTTCCTTTGAAAGGGAAGGGTGGGAGGATGACTCCAAAACCCGGTTGGTTGAAAACAGGGTGGCAAGAAGAGCTGAGGAAGCTCTTGTCTGGTGGCTTCTACTATCATCTGAAGTAGGAGGTGAAGTCAGCTGCTGAGAGTGACAAGGACGTGGAAACATGTTTGATATGAGTGGAGAAGGTTTGACATTGCTCTGTGGCTAATGGACAAGATCATCTAGGGAGGCATGGGACAATGGCCGGGTGACACTGAAGCCCCAGGAGGCTGGAGCTAATGAAGATTGGTGGCCCCATCGAGGGGCTGGGAGATTTTCTCTGCGGCTCATCAGCCACAGCAGCATGGGTGCAAGGAGCACAGCAGTTGTATTTGCCCAGCAGGGGGGTTTCTTGCCAGGCTAATGCAGTGATATAAGGGGATGGCGGTATGGACATGTGTGACTGAGGTGACAGACCACGGATTCCAATCTGGGTAAGAAAAGAGGCGAGGGCCGCCGGGATCTGAGGGGTTGGGAGGTGTAAGGGGCTGAATTCCCCTCTCAGTTCTGATTGCCTGGGGAAGTTATGTAAGTCCTTCCCACTGAGGTTCCACACACCACCTGCGTATCACAGTGCCCACCTGACGAGTCTTTTCTATGAGAAGAACCAGTTTCATCCCCAAGTGGACTGATGGTTTTAAGTACTATCCCCAAAGAGAGCCTAATTTTCTCATTAGCGGTTGTGGTCTTGATATAATTTATGATATTTTTCCTCGCTTCCAGGTGGCCTTCTTAATCTAGCATTTCTAATGATAATCATAGCTAATATTTGTTTTAAACAATTACTATCTGCCAGACACAGTACAAAATGCTTCACATACATTATCTCACTTAAAACACCATTTTACAAAGTCAGAAGTTCGTCCTTTTATTCTCTGTTGAGGAAATTGAGACTTCGGGAGGTGAAGGTATTTGTCCAAGTTCTGAATGCTAATTAGTTGTACAGCCTGCACTCCAACGCTTGACCGTCTGATTCCATATTGTGGATTGAAATGCTACAGGGCTAAGGTGCACATTGATATATGATTGCTAACTGGGTAATGCACCAGTGAGTGATGGTGAGGAGATAGCAGTGACGGAAGGTTCCTGTCCACTTCAACTCAGATCTATTGAAAGCACTCCTCTTTCTCTTTTTTATTATTTATTTGTTTTTTGAGGAAGATTGGCCCTGAGCTAACATCCACTGCCAATCCTCCTCTTTTGGCTCTGAGCTAACATCCGTGCCCATCTTCCTCTACTTTATGTGTGGGACGCCTGCCACAGCATGGCTTGAAAAGCAGTCCTCGGTCTACACCAGGGATCAGAACTGGCAAACCCCGGGCTGCTGAAGCAGAGCGCACAAACTTAACCACTAAGCCACTGGACCAGCCCCCCACTTTCTCTTTTATCAGTCCTTCAGAGGGAATTTGAGGCTAAGTCCAGAGGGTTTGTGCTCATGAAAAACGAGCAGTGATTTCTAAAAAGATGAAAAATTACTTAAGCTTTCATTGAGTGCTGATTTTGCTGGGAGGAGGAAGGGAAAACAAGAGAGAATGTCTGATGATCTTGATCTTCCCGCAGAATGAAATCGAACTGTAGGAAATGATGGGGGCAGTCGTTGTGTGTTGGGAGGTTTGGATGAGGAGGAAGGTAAAGGAAGAGGTAGTAACATTTGAGGAACGACTCATGGAAGGACATACGTTAGCATATAATGCGAAGCCATCATGTAGCATCAAAATAAACAAATGTTATAAAACAACTGATATATAGTTGGGTTTGATTTATTTTCGATTGACTCATTTAGTCACTAGGTCCTTCAAACTTAAAGTGCAACCACTCACGGGGAGCCTGTTAGAAATGCAGACTCCCAGGTGCCACCCCAGACCTATTGACTCAGAATCTGCACTTTTACAGGACGCCCAGTGCGTCTTCCGTCCACTAATGTTTCAGAAGCACCCCACCATTCATTCCATCCACTCCTTAACAGGCACCAACTAATCTCAAATTCACGCGAATAGCATCATTCATTTATAAGAATTTTATCTGCTTATTCATAAGACAATTGAAAAGCAGCTATCTTGTTTTTCAAATTCCTTGGAATTACACAATTTGGCAATTCACAGATAAAGAGCACTTTTCTTCTTTAGGATATTCTTTCATAGTAATTTATTTTCACGCAACACATAGAGAGTAAGATTTGGAACAGTTAAGTAGATAAACCACACAGTCTCTTCAATTCCAAAACTCCCTCTCAAAGCGATGAAAAGTCTTGCCCAGGAAGATTTGTGGAAAATGGGTAGGAATGATCATTTGAGAGTGGCCAAGCTCAACATCAAGGTTCTCAGCTGGGACCGTGTCTGATGACGGCTGATTTGATTTCCAGGTCAGTCCAGCTCCTAATAGATCCGTCAGTCTGAGCAAGGATACCAGCCTGGAAAGAAAAATTAGCGACTTCTCAAAAATCATGCACCCTCAGCATACGGTGTATTCAATACATTTAGCTACGTTCTCCTGCTATGGGGAACCCCCTGACATTTATAAATCAAGGTGTTAACCATTGACCCAAATTAGACTTTAAATTCAAGAAACATCAAATCTATTACTTTACTTCCATTTCTGAGATATTGTGCATGTTTGTTACCGAACCTGAAGTGAGTTCGCTCACCCGTTGCGCAGCAAGCCAATCTCTGACACCGGGTGTGGTGGAAGAAAGTAGGAATTTTATTTTTGCACAGCGCTGAGCAAGGAGAGAGGGCAGCTAACGCTGAAATCCCAAACTCCCAGAAAAGCTAAAAGGAAGGGTTTTTATTTGGGGCTTTAGGTAGGGAAGGGGGAGCATATGGCCTTGCTGGTCGGAGCTTTCCCACCAGCCTGTCTTTGGCCTTGAGACTACTTGCAGACAGGAGGGAGCTCATGACCTTGCTGGTCAGCAGCTTTCTCACCAGCCCGTATCTCTTTGCGGGAGGAGATAGTCCAGGTGGTTGTCCTTGATGCTGTCTGTCTCCTGGAGGATAGTGGATTCTGGAGCCAGGAAGCCAGAGAGTAAGCAGGGAATGAGTGTTTTGGTTTTAACCCCATATATGCTGGGTTTAATGCAGAGAAACTGATATCAGGGTCGATACCATGTTCACATGTGTCGTTTGGGATTTTAGATTTTTGGATACTTCTCCTCTGAAGAAGATTCTCTTGCTTCCCAGATGGATGAAGAAAGTTTGGTTTTCCTTGTTTCTAGAAAACAGCGAATTACAATTTCAGGTGATATTTTCACTTTCCCTTCCAGATTAATATGGGTTTGAATATTTTCTCAAAAATAAATATTGGGAATATAACATTTCTGTAGAATCACTTTTTATTTTATTTCCTCACTTTATAACTGGGGGGCGGGGAGTGACACTTTCGCACGCAGTATTAGAAGAAACTGTATCTGCAGGTGAGTTTGAGTACTTTCATTGCTCTCAGGACATTAAGCAGGGAACGTGAGGGGAAAAAATTCATATTTTCCTGAAGAGGTTCAGACCTCAAGTTAAAGCTCTCTGCAATGGCATCTCAGTGGTGCACGCTCCAGTACCCGATGGAATCACATTTCTTTCAAAATATTCTTATAATTGAATTTCCACTGATTAGAACTCCTCCCCACGCTCTCATCCCCGATTATCTTATGGAGGTTTAGTCTTCCATGCCTAAAACTGTGAATTTGGGCCAGTCACGGGGTGTTATCTCAGTTTAGGAAGTCTCCAGTTCACATAGGTCATTTATTTTTAAATTTGAGCCTGGGATCCAGAAACGCCCATCGCTCTCCACTTCAGGTGTTCTCTCCTTCCCTCTCTCCAGGGAGGGAGAAGTTCAGGAAGAGAGAAAGCTCCTTCCTCTGCTCCTGTTCTCCAGCATTTCATCCTAAATTCAGAGATGAAGTGTGTAGTCTAGGTCGAATCCGCTGTTGCTTAAAAAAGAGCCTGAACTTTCTCCAGTCCTTTGTGAAGCAAGCCCACCTTTGCCTTCAACCCTTCCTTAGCCCAACCATAGGCTTCACCAGGCCCAGCCTCTGGTCATCAAAGAGAGAGCCAGGGGGTGGTCCCTGGAGCCAACCTGCTGAGCTGAGGAGGGGCCAGCGAGCCACTGAAACCTGTTGCTGGCATCCTGAGGTAGAAATTGGAAAGCACGTTTCTAGATGGCAGTTGGGTTCTGTAATTCATTTGCTCACTCAACAAATATTTGCTAAAGTCTGCTACGTGGTCCAGGTAACTTTCTAAGTGCTGGGGACACAGTGGTAAACAAACAAACAGAGGTAGACAATAAGAAAATCAAACAAGCAAAATATGTTATATGTCAGAAGAGGTTGGTTTGGAGATGGGAGCGGGGTGTTGTGACTTTAAATAGACTGGTCAGGGAAGACACGGCTGAGAAGGTGAGGAAAGATCTGAAGCTTCCAGGGGGAGTGGAGTGGGTGGGGAGAGTGCTAGAACATGGGGTCAGAGAGGCAATGTGGGCGTGGGGCGAGGGCTAAAGGCTTCTGAGCTACAAGAGGACAGGCAAGATGTGAGGTACACTTGAAAGGTTTGTTCTGGCTTCTGTCCTGAAAATAGTCTGCAGTGGGGAAGGAGCAGAAGCAGAGAGAACGTGTGGTGGCTTGGAAGAGGATATGTGCTTAACCTATATCAAATTATTTTTTATTATATTTTTTAATTATAGGGGTCCCTAAGGAGTGTTTTAGACATTTTTTCTTATTTGTGCCCCTGCTCTCACTCCACGGAATTTTAATACCTCGGATGCACCGTGTATCTGTTTATGTACTATCTGTACGCCTGTGGTTTATACACACAACCCCCCAAGAACCAATTTGCACCCCCTTGGGGCCAATATTTTCTCAGTGGAGAATGCATGGTGTAGGGCGATAACACTAGAGTGTGAGATCCGTTCACTTGCTTTTCCTCTCTAAAAGTTAACGATTATAGACACTAAATCACTCCGGGAAGAGGTTAGATATACATGGCTTCATCATTCAGTACATAGGCATGGAAACAGGAAAGTGCCTAGTGCTTTTTTCAAAATGCACAAAGTAAAAACCAAAGCTTTAATAACAGTATTCAGGTAGTTTTCTTCTTTTATACTAGAAAGCCTGAGAGAGTATTAGGATTTTGTTCTGTGTAAACCATGATGGCGACGGTTCAAAGACAGGATTCCCAAGACATGAGCAAATCTCCAAATAGAAATGATTCCAAAAGATGTTTGGAAAACTCATTCTCTGTGAAATGTGCACGTGTGTGTGTACGCTTGTGTGTGTGTACATGTGGGGGAGTGGTGTGTATCTTACCTTTTCCCTGGGAATTTGTGCAGATTGGTATCTCCACGGATGATTGAAAAGCAACAGTTGCTGGGTTTTTACAATTTTCCTCTATTTTTTAAGGAAGTTGGGGCTTTCTAGCAAAATGCTTTCTTTTTCTTTTCTTTGTTTTAAAAACAAACCTAACAAATGAGTTTTAAGATCTTTACTGCTGGAAATTGAAATGAATATTACGCTGTTGACAGGCAGTAGAAGACGGGATGTGATTAAGTGCATCGTCAAGATTCCTCAGTTGGATTTAATAATAACAGCTTCTCAGAAAGGATTAATAACAGTCTTCAACAGCCAGGTAATTTGAAAGCTTGGATTCTTTCTTTCCTCCCTCCCTCCCTCCTTCCCTCCTTGCCTTCTTTCCTTCCTTCCTTTTGTTTTATCTGTGCATTATGTGTATGTATCAGGTGCAGCAGAAACCATAAACCATATTTCAGAGTTATTCCAAAAAATAAAGCCAAATATTATGAAAATGATAAGATTGCTGAGCCCTGGATCAATTTTTCAGATTTCGGTAACTGCATTTGGCAATATTCCTTGGGGTGTTATATTGAACCATGTGGCATCAGCGCAATTAAATGATGATCCTGGATAATTTATCAGAGAAAATCAGAAAAACTCACAAGTCAGGTGATTTGGTCATAATTCTACCAAGTAGTAAAAGGTTCCAACAAGAACCTTGGAGTAAAAAAAAGGCTCAAATTCCAGCCCCTCTATTTTACTAGCTATGATGTTAAGTAGGGAAGCTATGAGCCAACGTATACCTTTTCATGTCTCTTCTATCCATCTGCAAAATGAGGACACCAGGACCAGTCCTCTCTCCCTCAGAAAACTGTGGTGAAGGTCAAAAGAGATAATGAATCCAGAAGCATCTTATGAACAATAAATGCCCATATATATGTAAGGCATTGCTATTATTAATGCCATTTCTTTCTAAATTTGTAAATTTTGGACTTCCATTTTCAAAATACGAGCGATTATAATGGAATGTACGATGATACAGTCTATGTCATATGTCACTGTGAAAATTAAAGGTGAAGGTTTGGTGTTAAATATCAAAAAATAAATCCAATTATTAGCTTTATAAAGTAAAATATATTTGAAATAACCATCACGTGATCAAAATTTCAACAATAATTTCCAGCCCTTCAGTGATCTCCATCACAGGCAGCCAGATGCCATCAGAGGAGACGGCTGCCAGCCATGGGGTGGTGCAATGGGAGAGTCCCAGTGCCAGTGTGAGCCCAGCCTCCCTGCCCAGCCGTGCAGGTCACTTATCTCCACGCCCTGGTTCCTCCTGATCCAGAACCAAAGAACTTCCCTCCCTAGGTAGTTGTTCTGTTTAAATGAGTAAATACAAATAAAGTGCTTAGCGTCGTTATAAGCACTCAGTAAATGTTGGCAATTATGATTATGAACAAATGATGTGTAAACAAAAATGGATTTGCCTCATTTATATAGGAAAATCTTCCCTGGTCTCTTTTTTTCCTCCGTGCATTATTTCCCTTCTCATTTTCCACCTTTATTTCCTCAAAAATAGAACTAAGATTGTATCTAAAGAAAAATGTGAGGGGCTGGCCCCATGGCTGAGTGGTTAAGTTCACACGCTCCGCTGCGGTGGCCCAGGGTATCTCTGGTTCGGATCCTGGGCGTGGACATGGCACTGCTCATCAGACCATGCTGAGGTGACGTCCCACATACCACAACTAGAAGGACCCACAACTACAATATACAACTAAGTACTGGGGGGATTTGAGGAGAAAAAGCAGAAAGAAAAAAAGAAAAGAAGATTGGCAACAGTTGTTAGCTCAGGTGCCAATCTTAAAAAAAAAAATTTAAAAAAAAAGAAAAATGTGAGAAGGAAAATAATGATCTTCGTAATACAATAGTTCAGGATTATGTGAAACAAAATGAGGTGGCGTTCTCATATTTCCAGAGAGGCATCACACACATATGCACGCACGCTAGTCTATAGGTGCACGCATACATGCTCACAAACACACAGACACATCTCTTCCCTATAAGACAATGCAATGAGAGAGAAAAGATTGCTTAACAATTATTTTAAGATTTGATACACCAGGAATAAATGGTATTTTGAATGTTGCATGCCTTCCAAATAGGATGACACATTCTGTGAGAAAGTAATTTGGTAGAGTAGGTCACAGGAACCATTCATTAAAAGGTAGCCATTAATAATGCAAAATGTCTTATAAAATTGGCTCTATGTTTAGTAGAATAAACATAGGTAAGGATGTTCGTGGTGCTTTCTGGAGGGCTTTGATATAGACTCTGACTGTTATTAATGAAAATTCCTGCAAAAAAAGCTAGATTTTAAAAATTCAAATCACACCTATAAGGACTATGAAACTTTGAAAGATGATAGGAGAACTTTAAATATGTGGCTTCCACCAAAGATGGAGGTGGGGCAATAGAGGAGGAAGCCCCAGGTGTTGTGCTCTCTGCTCACCAGTTTGCTCAGAGCGCCTTCTGTTTCCCATGGAGAAAAGGTCCCCGGGCAGAAAAGGCGTTTTGAAGTCTCCAGATGAAAGACAGTCTGTGATGACCACGACTAACAGTTTTAGTTAAGGAGATCTATGACTTATTTTCCCTCCTGTTCACATAATCCATTCCTTCTGGGCAGCCTTTTTCTAGACTTTTCCCAAGACCATTCGAGCATGCCAAATAAACCAGGTCATCAACACACTTGACTACTTCCCTTTACCTTGGGAACAATTAACATGCCTTAAGGGTTTAAGAGGCTGCTCATGTATGTACCAGGTGTGCATGGAATAAATCTATGATTCTCCAACCACATAGAACCCAGGGCATGATATTCATTCAATAGATACTTACTGAATAAAAGCGGAAGCTCACTCGATAGAATGTTCTTAAGTCTCTCAATAACTTGAGCAATAACTTCCAAATAAAACAGTGGGTTTTTTTCCTACATCAATTTTTATTCATATTGACCTATTTAGCATTCTTTCAACTACTCTTGCCATTGCTGTAAGTATTACTTTGCATTCACAATTTTTGATATCACATGTTGCTCTGAATAACTAAAGAATGTGAGGCAGTTCACAAATAGAAGGAACAAAATAATTAGGAAAGTCTAAGACTCTAAGAGCACAGTCCCCAGGCTTAAAGACAAGCTGCAGAAGCGTAAACCTCGCCCGAAGCACACAGGGCACTATTCCCCAGGGCTGGGCTCCAGGGAAAGGAGAAACAGGCAGGCGACTCATGGAAGGCGGAAATGACAAGTGAGATCAAATCGAGGAGTTATTGAGTTGTTTTAGGGTCAATATTCTCATCTTTAATTGTCGTGCCAACTAGGTTTCATTATTGCCTTTCTTTGTTTATAGATGAGAGTTCAGACTAGCACCAATGTTACCGTAAGTACATTTTTTAAATTCCTAATTAAGTCAAACTTAGGGCTATGATCATGGTTCCTCCATAACTCATCACAATCGAATGAAGTGCCGGAATTGGCTCTGAGAATAAGATGTTTTCATAGGTTGTAAGCTTATGTTTATTGACTAGGATCAAAACTAAACTTTGAGCAACAGCAAAGAGGACCCTTTGCTTTCTGGAGTTAAACTGATTGCAGAGAATTGACTGGAAACTGATCACTCCTTGGAAGCTTCAATTTAAAAGTTTCGCCTGTTTTTCCAAGCACTCACTGTGGAGGGATGTGAAAAATGGACACAGCCTAAGTTGTGAGAACAACAAGGAAATAGCCAATGGAAATAATTGACAACATTTGATTTTAAACTTGAAAACGGCATAAAAAAATTTGAGTGCGATTTTTTAATTTGTTTAATCCATATCGCTAATTGGAAAAGTAATCTTGCCCCAATGTTGTGAAGCTGTGGTGACTTGCTGTCAGAATCCCACCGTGGCTTTATGAGACATGGGCAAGGCTGGACTCTTCACCCCCCCTTACATGCCCTGAACGCACTGAAGTACAAAGGAGGGTGCCAGGCGCCTGGCAGAGGAGGCCCGCTTCTCCCTAAGCCTGTTAGAATTCCTAACACGCTTTACAGAGGGTTCAAGGGCGTGACTGACATGACCTGAGGCAGGCACTCAGACGTGGGAGCTGCCGTTCTTGTTCAGTAGTGTGTGGTTGCTGATAAGAAAGATGCTGCCCACACCAACTTCTCCACTTTAGGCAAGACACAAGACAAACTCATTGGCCTCACCTTGACCATTGCCCCGAGGACCACTAAGATCTTTTCTAGCTAAAAGTTTTAAGCATGGGGATAACTTCAGAGAACTTGCTTAATCAGTGCCCTAAATCTAGTCTCCCCGTGTCCCTGTGAGGAAGTGTCCTCACAAAGGTGAATAGTGCAGAGATGACTGCTCTGCCGGCCACCCTGTGCTTCCAGGGAGCTGCTCCAGGCACTGGCTGCATCATTCTCCAGCTGATGGTGCTGAGACACTCAGGGTAAGGATGAAAGGGAAAAAGACGAGAGCCTCTCCTCCAACCTCAGAGAAGAGACATTGCGAGGCTCCTCTGCAAACAAGGAGGCCAAATGGGGCTTTTAACGTAGCGAACCTACTCTTTACTAACCATCGCCATGTGATGGAACAAAATACAATATTACACCCCCACCCCCATTCTATGCTTTTCTGTCAGGACACCTCCTGGATTACAGGATGTGATTATCTCTCACAGCTGAAACGAATTGTCGCCACTACAGAAAGGACCATTATCGTCTGGGATTACAAAGCTCAAGGGAGCAGCCAGGTACTGTGCTAAGAGAAATACTCGAAGAAACTCGATTGTCTTTTCCATACTGGTGGGATATGAGCAATCCACTTTCTCTACTGAATATCACTTTCCTCATATGGAAAAAACTGATAATCAAGTCCAGCTTTAATATTGTGTAAGGCTAATTAAAAGAGAATGTTCTTTCCTTTTAGTGTATGTTTAATTTCGGGGTATTTGTTTTGTTTTGTTTTTGAGAGAGAGGGGCTAATTCCTTTCTTCTTTCATACCCTTCTCTGAATCCAAGTGCTATCTGTTTGATTGTGTTCATGTTATCAAGTTCAAAGCCTTTCTCTCCAACCCAGCTTGTTTGGTAAGAAAATTACTAAAATCAAATGCTTAATTCTGGCAAAAAATCTAATGGGGCAGATGTTAATGTTAATCTCTTTAGGAGCTGAGATGTGACCACTTAACCAATTTACAATGTTTATTTATTAACTTGTTTATCTGCAGACCTATAGAAGTAATGAACATGTTCCTTGCACTCAAGCAAAACTCAGTCTTGAAGAGTCTCATGAATAAACATAATATATAACATTCAGGTCCAGCAAATTCTACAGTAAAAAGAACAAGTGCAGTAGGGGCTTCGGGAGAGGTGAAATCACTGAGCATTGGGATTATATAAAAATGCCCTCGGGCTGGCCTTGTGGCGCAGCAGTTAAGTTCAAATGTTCCGCTTTGGTAGCCCGGGGTTCGCCAGTTCGGATCTTAGGTGTGGACATGGCACCGCTTGGCAAGCCATGCTGTGGCAGGCATTCCACATATAAAGTAGAGGAAGATGAGAACGGATGTTAGCTCAGGGCCAGTCTTCCTCAGCAAAAAGAGGAAGATTGGCAACAGATGTTAGCTCAGGGCTAATCTTCCTCAAAAAAAAAAAAAAAAAGGAAAAAATGCCCTCAGAAAGAAGGCCGACTTTGAAGGACAGGGAGGATTAAGAAACTTTCCTCTGTGCCTTACTTGTGACTGGTCTCGGTGAAAAACTAAACTTCTCGTGCTTGTCCACAATGCTGTAACCGGGAGGTAGTGATGCCGGGATGGTTTCAAAGAAGGCAGCTGGTTGCTTAATGTACTTTACATGATGTGTGACTATCTCGTGTCATATAGTTTGACTGCAACTCTCCTCCCAGCTCTCTCCTGTTTTCACTCTTGCTTTTCAACCCCTGGAAGCCGCTGATTCCTTGAAAGTGTCTCCTTCCACTCTTCGGTTGCCCTCCCTCCGCTCTCCTTCCCTTCCCACCTGCACCGCTGGGTGGATCATCCGACCTGAAGTCATCCTCACCCTCCATTCTCTTAAATCTCTATCCTCAAAGCTCTAGGCCCGGAGAGATGCTGCAGCCTTTCTCTGCTCCTTTGCAGCGGCGAGCGCTGCTGGAAAAAACACAAAGCCGTGCTATTTGGCATCACTACAAATTCAGGGTCTGCAGACTCACTTGGGCGCGGGTGGCTTCCATCAATCTCTTTCTTATCTTTGCCAACTCGCCTTCCCATCGCCAGCAAGTATTCCAAAATTCCCTTCTTCTCCTCAGGCCCTCTCCCACTCAGCAGATGAACTGGCCCCTACTTTCCTGAAAACACTGAGTCTATAAGGCTTGTCCTCTTTCAAATTCTAGCCCTCTCACCTACAGCTGTAACGAGGGGTGCACTCCTCCTTCCCTCCTTTCTTACTTCCTCTTTCTGAAGACAAAATATCTTTGTGTCTGATGCTCCCCCCAACCCCCGCCTCGTCCAGAACGAGGCTCCATAGCATCTTCTCTCTCTCTTTTTGACATGAATCTCCCCTTCTAGGATCCTTTCTCTCAACCTCCTCTGAATCTTCCTCTCAACCAATTCAGGTCTGAGATCTAAGGTCACCCTCCCTGACCGTGGAAACTAAAGTGGCCTCTTCAGTCACTCTTCATCACAGTACTCTAGTTTATTTCCTTAAGTGCACTTCTCATTATCTGGAGTTATCTGCTTTATTCATCCATCTTCCCCCAATAGAATGATAACTCCACAAAGTCAGAAACTTGTCTTGTTCATCACGATATGGCCCGTGCCCAGAATAGTCCTTGGCACATCATAGGTGTTCAGTAAACATTTGTTGAATGACTGAATGAACTTCTAAATATGTTCGAGTCTCACTCATTCTAAAGGAAAAAAATGAATTAAAATTTTTTTGCACATCTTTTTCTTCTATCTTAGGTAGAGACTGGATTCCAGGAGGGCAGTAGCCACATAGCTTAGTGAATCCAGTTCTGTAGCACAGAGTCAGCTCGACAAATGCTTGCTGAATGTTTCCGGATAAACTTAGATGTTAGGATAGTTTTCTCCTTGTAAAATAATTGGGACTTTAATACTTGATTTTCTTGTTTAACACCCAGTTTTATGTCATCAGTCTGGTAAGACTTGAACCTTTTTGTGCTTCCTGTTAATATTGCCTTACAAATTCAAGAGAGGGACATTCACAGGAACACATCAGAAATTCTCATTGCTTGTTGAGCCAGAGGTGGGTAACCCACCCTTTTCACCACAAAACACCCAAAAGCACAGTGGTGAGCTCAGAGTGAATGTTTATTAACTGTTCTTGGTTAACTTTGGTTTTTTTCAAGTTCCTTTAACACTGTAGAAGTATCTGGAAGGAGAAACATCAAAAAGTAAAACTTCTATCAAATAATAGGGGCAATATTTATATTTAGATATTTAGAGCAATGGAATAACTTACCAAAACGTTCTTCTGTTTCAGGAAAACTATTTTGTCATCAAGCCTATGGATCACTGCCTCCTCTGCGTGTGCACAGTGTCCCTGCCCGACCAACTCTGCCGAGACGACATCCTCTTAGGGGATGATGGAGGTTTCGTGAACAAATTCACAGTAAATAGTGATGACTTTGGACTGAAGCAGGCAAAATCCAAAAAAAAATTACAAACTCAGGTCCTGGACTCAAAGAACTTTAAAAGGTAAGGGTATTACATGCGTAGTCCAGTTGTTTAATACAGACATTGTTCCAGTGTTTGTATAGCGGAAGCAACGTGAGACCCCACGGTAGAGATCTGAAACACAGAGCTGAACAAGAAACACTTCTGGCCTCAAGGGACTTCCGGTACAATAGAGCAGACAGACAGGAAAGTCAGCAACCGACATGCCTATTCTGAGTGCTATTGACAATCAAAATCTTTAGGTACTTGAATGAATGAAAGAGTTAAATAAAAAATTAAATCATGAAAAAACTATAAAAGACATCTACGACTATTTACTAGCCCTTGAATATGGAAGAAGATTCTACAAATAAAAGCAATGGATACAAAATTCAAAGAAAAACTTTGATAGATGACTATACACGAAAGAAAACCTTCTGGACATCAAAAGATTTTTTAAAAGTAGGTAATGAATGGAACAAATATTGATAATAAATATTACAGACAATGAGTTTACTCTTTAATAGGTATTAGAACTCAATTAAAAAACAATAATTCCTCAAGAGAAAAACGGGCAAAGGCCCAGAACAGATAGTTCACACACATGCACATACAGTACAAGTAGACAATAAACATCTCAAAATGATCATCAGGCAAAAATGCTAACGAAAATTATCTCTAACTAATGAGATTATGGGTGATTTTTATTGTCTTCTTTATCATTGCAGTGTTTTTGAAGTTTTTAGAGTAAGGCATATATTACCTTTACTAGCAGAAAGACAAATTTTGTATTAAATATATCCCCTGCATTAATCAAAGAAGTAGAACTTAAAATCAGATACAATTTCTCACTTATACAATTGGAAAGTATTGAAAATGGGGAAGATGCTATGAGGTGGGCATTCTCACATACTGCTGGTGATGGAGGTATGAGTTGCATCCCTTTCTGAAAAGCAGTATGGGCAGACGCATAAGTGTCTAAATAAACATTTATGCATTGGGACCTGGGATCCCCACATGTTTAAAAATATAAGTATGGATGGGGCCAGCCCCATGGCCGAGTGCTTAAACTTGCATCCACTGCTTCGGGGGCCCGGGTTTGCAGATTCAGATGCCAGACACGGACCTATACTACTTGTCAGCCATACTGTGGTGGCAACCCACATACAAAACAGAGGAAGACAGATGTTAGCTCAGGGCTAGTCTTCCTCAAGTAAAAAAAAGGAAGATTGGCAATAGATGTTAGCTCAGGGCTAATCATCCTAAGGAAAAAAAAAAAATATATATATATATGTCATGGTTATCACAACATATTATTTCTAATAATAAAATACATAGTATCTAACTATAGAAGGATTAATTTAAATGATCAATCATTTAAATAAATAATTCAGATATTATATAAATGTATAATATAATATTCTATAAATATATATTTACATATTTTATAAATATATCCATGCATATGTCACATATTTATATGTAAAATATATATTTTGCCAGACTCCTAAAAAATATTTAATGTATCAAGGATGTTTAATAAATCATAGTATAACCATATTAGGGAATGCCATGCACCCCCATTAAATTATGTTTTGAAAAATACTTAATATGGAAATATGAATGATATAATATTAAGTAAAAAAATATTTTTACTTTTCTATGTACATATAAATCTAGTTTTATAAAAAGATACATCTATGTGTATGTGCATCTGTGTCTGTGTATTTCTACACTTCTACTTATAAAAATATTGAGTGTAAATATCCCAAAATATTAATAATGATTACCTATGGGACTTCAGAGAGGTGATTTTTATTTTTTCTTTATAGTTTTCTACTTTCTAAATTTTGTACAATGAAAATTTTTCTTTTAGAATAAGAAAAATCCTTTTAAAAATACAGGATTATACTGTCATTATTGTGACAAACATTTTATCCCAGAGTTAGAATATGCAGTTAAAAGATCATTGCAACTGTCACTACAATGGAATTATTGCTGGAACCCTAAGAATGACACAGTAACGATCCATCTGGCTCCATTTTCCATTCCTCATACAAACAGTATCACTTAGTTCCACCAAGAGCTAGACTCTGATGAGGCAGTTTGTTAACACGTGATGTGCTGCTCTACAAACTAGCATGCATTTCATTCCAATGATGATAGGCTCTTAGGACAGATGCCGAGACATGAATCTTCTCTTTACTGAGATGTGTGTCACCTGTCAGGAAATTCCATGGCTTGTTTCCCTCCGTGTCCCCATTAGATAGATATGTTAGAAATGAGATTGTGGATCTGAGGAATTTGAGGAATCTGGGTACAGTTAAATGAATGCTAATTCACATTGGTTCTTTTGGGTGACTATTCACGTGTAGATGATTTAATCATGTAGATGATCGACATGTACACAATTTATTATTTGAGACTGAAGTATACGTGTAGGCTGCATGTTGAGGCATTTCCTTACCCCAAGAGATCTTCAAATTCAACAGAATGAAAAGTATTAAGGCTAAAGAGATAATTAAATTCTAGAGTCATCATGAAAGTTTTCCTGCAGTTGATATCCACACAATTCATTCATATTGAATGGGGGGGTAGCAAACACTGGTATGCAAAACATTGTACAAATTAAAGAAAGAAGTAGCCAGCATCCAGAGTTCAAAATTAAACACACTGTGGCATGCAAGGAGAAATCTCCCTCTCCGCTCTCTTCAATACCATATTGTTGAACTTGCCTGCCTTGAGTTATAAACGTGTATTCCTCAACTAGAATCTAAGGAACTTGGGGACAGGAATTTTACCTTAGGAGCTGGCCCGGTGGTGCAGTGGTTAAGTGTGCGTGTCCCACTTCGGCGGCCTGGGGTTCACCGGTTCCCATTCCAGGTGTGGACATGGCACTGCTTGGCAAGCCATGCTGTGGCAGGCGTCCCACGTATAAAGTAGAGGAAGATGGGCACGGATGTTAGCTCAGGGCCAGTCTTCCTCAGAAAAAAGAGGAGGATTGGCAGATTTTAGCTCAGGGCTAATCTTCCTCAGGAAGAAAAAAAAAATTTCCCTTAATCATCTTTATGTCCTTGGTACCTGGGATACAGTAGGTGCTCAATAAATGTTTGTGAATGAGGAAACAAATACTGTAACATAGGAGGAAATATAACACCATGAAGATGGCTTCTTCCAGTTAAGAGGAGAGTTTTATGGCAGAAGTTCACCCTCTGACACCTAGCTTCTCACTCAAATGTCCTGTGTACTGATGAGCGAGCCTGTGATGAGGATTCACCAGTGCTCTGGGATTATAAATTTCCCAATTCTTCAGTTTTGGAAATATTCATGGAAAATATGAAAGTGAGTTGACTCGTGTAAGATATAAAACAATATGAAACGCAGTCTTCCATTTGTATGATCAGAATTTTTTCAGTAAAGTACAGATAATAGTGCCAATATCGGACAGGGATTCTTCTAGATTATTCCTTTAATTCTGAATCTATAGCTCAAAATTTGATGATATTCTTTTATTTTTCCACTTTAAATATGCTACATTATCAAAATTTAACAGCAAACTGTTGTTAAACAGTTAAGTGTGGTATAATGCATAAGGTGGTGTTATACATGCAGGCTTTACCGCAGTTCAGAGGTGTGATCTGGCTAAAGTCACAGGGAAACGCCCAACAGAAACTCAACGTGATGTGTTTGTTTGTCTAAAACGACCTCTCGTTTTTTTCTTTTAATTCCAGCGTTAAGAGGAAGCTACATAATGACTGGGTTATGAAAATTAGATACATTTCAGCCCTAAATTGCTTTGGATCTTGCTCCTTAGACAGTGCTCATTCACTAGTTTTGGATTCCTTGAAGAGACTTGAGGATAATTTGTAAGTACAGTAGTTTATAGACAGCAACATTCTGTGACTTTCAGATTTTTCACAATTGATAAGCCCATGGCAGCCCTGGAACTTTCAAACTGGTTTTGAGAAAAATCAAGTATTAGTTATTCCATTTGTTTGACGAGATTAATTAGATTTTCAGGAGGAAGTTGAAGATATTCATGCAAATCTGAACATGACGTGACTTCACAGCAGTAATTTTGCTTGTTGGTTGTTTATCACTATAATCTTTTGGAATAAATCAATTCAGGTGTATCTGTAACTAGATTTTCCAAATATAGATCTACTAGTAAAACTTTATACTTTTAAGATCATTTTTACAGGTCAACTGGCTAGCCAATAGCCTGTGAGTGTCTGTAGCACGATCATCATGTTCCATTTGTAATAAATACACAAAATGGCTTTCTTATAGACAGGCGAATTTGAATAGTGCGTAGTCTTATTTTCTATCTGGTTAAATATTGGTTAATATATAATAACTATAAAACAGCTATTGTACTTTGTTTCAGTTTTAAAAAAATGCATTGAATTATATGCTACAACATGGATAAAGCTTAAAAACATTATGCTAAGTGACAGAGCCAGACACAAAAGACTGCATATTGAACGATTTTATTTATAAGAAAGGTGTAGAAAAGGCAAATTTATAGAGACGGAAAATAGATAAGCAGATGCCTAGGGGTGATGTGGGAGCAAGGATCCCAAGTGGACACAAGGGAACCTCTGATGAAAATGGTCTAAAATTTTTTTGTGGTGATTGTATACAATGCTATAAATTTACTAAAAATAATGAAATTGTACACTTATAAATGAGTGAATTTTATGGCATGTAAATTATACCTCAATAAAGCTGTCTTAAAAAAATGTGTGGAAACTTCTGGTTGCCAGTCTGACATGTAAGGAGTTTGAAAGTCATCACTCAGACCTAACATCAAGTGCAAAACTAAACAAACTGAAAAATCAATAACTCTTCTCAGATCCATCAAACAAGTGAGGTCACAAGTCAAACTGCTGCCCCCAAACTTGGAGCGACAGGCAGGCAAATACTGAGAATCCCAGCCTACAGGAGCAGAAATCCACAAGCAGAAACCTCCAGGGAAACCAGTACCAGGGTAGGGAGAGGAAACTGTAATTGACAAATTGCTGGGGGCTCAGGTAGACAAGACTGATAGTTAAAATCTCCAGAGACCCCGTCATGGGGGTCCCCACACTTTTGTGAGTTTCATCTCAACGAGCTTGACCAGTTTCTCACAGTGAATATTGGACAAAAATCTTCTCCTGCTTCTGCGGGAGGAAGGAGAAAATGAACCACCTTGAAATATACCAGAGCAGTCTTCTTAACAAGGCCTGCTCTCCAGAGAAACTATTTTACCAGAGCCTAAACCATTAAGATTTTATCAGAGACTAACCCACTTGGGAGAAGGGAAATACTCAACTCTAGACAACTCTAGTCTTCCTGTCCCACTAAGAGAGGGAGGGAAGAGAAGCGCTGGTGAAGTTCCCGTTTCAGAGGAACAGGTTCAGCAGAAGGCTGAGACCCAAGCATAGGACTACAGACTGCTCCCCCCTTACCGCTACATTATTGAAAGCCTATTTACAGCAGTTCTTTTTACGTAGTCCATCAAGTCCCACTAGCAAGAAAAAGTTACACAGCATACTGAAAGCAAAAATGCAGTTTAAAGAGCGTCAGAACCAGACTCAGCTGGAGCAGGGATGTTGGAATTATCAGACTGGGAATGTAAAGTAACTATGACTAATGCACTAAGGGCTCTAACAGATAAAGTAGACAGCATGCAAAACAGATGAGTCATGTAAACAGAGAGGTGGACATTTTAATAAGGAATCAAAAAGAAATGCTAGAGATTAAAGAAAACTGTAATAGAAACAATGCCTTTGATTGGCTCAAGAGTAGACTGACATGGGTTAGGAAAGAATCTCTGAGCTTGAGGATATGTCAGTAGACACTCTAAAAATGGAAAAGCAAAGAGAAGAATGACTGAAAAAAATGGAATAGAATATCCAAGAACAGTGGAACAACTACAAAAGGCATAACATACGTGTAATGGGAATACCAGAAGGAAAGAGAGTAAGAGAAGAAATATTTGAAGCAATAATGACTGAGAACTGCCCCAAATTAATGTCAGATACCAAACCCCAGGTCTAAGAAGCTCAGAGAATAGCAAGCAGGATAAATGTCAATTTGATTTTATACTATGTTGGCATTTCATAATACATTCATAGCCATAAAGAAATATTGTGAAAATGTATGCAAATATAATATGCCCTTGTGGTCCTATAGAAAACATATATTCTACTTCAACATCCAGAGAGGGGGTTTTAATTTCCTAGCTATACAAATCTACAGCCATGATTTTAACAGCACAGATATCTCCAGTACACTTACCAGGGTAATTCTAGCAGTTAATACGGCAACCAGAAAGTTATACAGGTCATGTAGTTCAGCCTTTAATCCAGAAGTGTATCAATTATTCAATAAATATTTACTAAGTCACCATGTGTTAAGCACTGTGGACAATACAAATATGTTTAAGTCATGACCCCTGCCTTTAAATGCTTAAAATCTAAGTGGGAAGACAAGAAATATAGATATGAAATCAGTGGTATGTTGGAGCCAGCTCATATTGGCTAATGAGAGCTGATTGCTAAGATTTCAGGAATTTGACAAACTTATTGTTAAACACGGCCATCATTTAAAAATAAGCTCGCAATTCAATTATATTAAAAACAAAGGCAATAAATACTCAAAACTCATGACTTCCTATTTATTTTACTACATTTTACTATTGTTTATGCTTTTGAGGATTTTATGTCCTCGAGAACATAAAAGTACTATATAACGGTGTGAAACTGTATATCTTTTCTCAGCTCCATGTTCAGAGATATCACATTGCTAGTTTGAAATCTGCCATGATAGGAATATTTATACCATGGAGCACAGCAAATGTTGTAAACCAATGGCAAGAGTTGTGTTATAAACCAGTGGCACTCTCCCATCTCCTCTTCCCTGGCCCCAGCTGAATACGAAACATCTACCAGCACACCACTGCACAGGATAATTCACACTGCAAAGCAGAGCAGTTCAAGGCCAGTTGGATGGGGTAGGATTATAGGCATAATAGGAGTTCGGAAAAGGGAGTGATAAATGATAGTCCTCTAGCAAGCCCATAGAGATAAAAACAAGAAACCTTATATAGGGGACTATGTAAATACATTTGGTAGCGATTTCATTAAACAAGAAAGTATCCAGCAGCCACAATAAACATAACTAGTCAGCATTTGGACGAATGAAGTGACTTATTTCTTCCTTCTTAAAGAGTATCTGTACATTGGTGTGTTTAGTTGCCTATTGTCAAACTAACATTACAAAATAGAAATCAAAAGATTAGTCTGAACAATATTGACAGGCCCTAACTTCCAGCACGTAGAACTTTTCTCTTCAGAAACGCCAGGATCCCTCTCTCCGACCTCTGTGTCTTACCTTATCAACTCTTAAATGCTCTAACTCCCACTCCACCTGCTCAGTGCTTCGTCTCTCCATTAGGTCAAATTTTATCATCCCTCTCTTTGACTTTCTCCCCTCCCTACCCACCTGGACTCCAGATTAACCATCTGAGCTCATATCTCACCAGCATTCGTCTTTGCTTTACATCCCTATCTGTCCACTGCATCAATCAGCAAAATCCCTACCCTTCCACTCAGCAGAGACCTTGGCGCGGCCTCCCAATCCTTTTACACACCTTTGATATCCTCCCTGTCCCGTTCCCTAGTGACTATTCCAAACGTCAACTCCTTTCACTCTCCATGGATATCCTGTCCTCCTACAAGACCAAAAAACCCTGAGACCTCAGGAGTCATTCCCTAACACCCCAGATCTTGCAGATTTTCTATATCCACACCCATCCTTAAGTCTTTTCTTTTTGTTTCAGAAATGGAGGTATCAAACCCTCCATGGGTGACATTCCACTTAACTCCTTCTTCTGCAGGATCTTGCCGTTTCAGTTTCTCCCACTCTCTCACTTTCAACCTATAATGCTCAAGTCCCTTGTGATCTGAGTAATGCTTTCCTTGAGCTACAACCTCCTTTGATCTATCACACTACACTTCTTCTGGAAAGAGTAGTGTGCATTCACTATCTTTACTATCTTGCATTATTCATTCCCTCTATAACCCTCTCTAATATAGCCGCTCCCCCTTTTACTCTATAAAAAGGGCTCCCACATTGCCAATGATGTCTACATCAGCAAACCAGTGGAAACAATGTATCAGATAGTCTGGGGGCATTCAGCATTACTGATTTCACCCACCCAGAAACTCTATTCTCTTAACTTTTGGGAAGCCAGAGTTTTCTCCTAGTATTTTACTGTCTGTTCTTCTTCCTTGTGATTCCTCTTTTTGTGCCTGCTCTTAAATGGTGGTGTTCTCTAGAGTTCTGTCCTTAGTCAACTTTAATTTTCACTTTCTACTCAATCCTTGGGTGATGTTCCTCTTCAATGTACTAATACCTATAAGCTGATGAAACCCAAGCTATTGTGACTTTTGGACTTACATATATCTGTTCACCATCTCCACTTGGACATCTCATACCCCTAAACTCATATGTTCAAACCGAACTTCACTTCCCCCACCTCTTAATCTGTGCCTTTTATAGCATTTTCATTTTTTCTTGATGACACCATGATCCATCAAATCACCCTCGGCAGAAATCCAGCAATCCCACATGACTCCTTCCTTTCCCTCAACTCCCACAGTCATCAGTCACCAAATTCGCCCATATTGCCTTACAAATACCTGTTAAATCTGTCTTATCTTCTGTACCTCTCTCCCCTTAAGCTCTTATCTTCAACTAGCCTCTTGCCTCAATACTCTTCCAGAGCATTCTTATGAAGATGATAGCCAACCATCTCAATAGCTTTCACGCTTCTCCATCCTCTACCACAGCACTTCCATAACCTGTGAACCTCTCCACC